TCTCTCTCTCTCTCTCTCTCTCTCTCTCTCTCTCTCTCTCTCTCTCTCCCTTGCACATTTAAATATCCATCTGCCACTTGTTTTGTATATAATTTATTTGTAGCTCAAACAAGCATTTCCAGTTAGCAGAATCCGAGCTGCGTTGTGGTTCTAATTAATCTCTTGCAGGGCCTGGCATTACCGGGCACTTAGGGCCTGATCCATCCTAAGTAGGCAGCGGTCAGGGCCCTGTTGCTCTAACTTTTGCAGTCTGAGGTAGGGCAGCAGAACTAGGACAGAGTCTGTGTATGCACATGCATGTGTATGCATATGTGTGCATGTCTGCATGTGTATGCATGTGAGTGTGTGTGTGTGTGTGTGTGTGTGTGTGTGTGTACATGGTGAGAAGACAGTCTTAGGTGTGTCTTTCACCTCACTTTTGAGACTGGGCGCCTCTATCAAGGAGCTCACCCATTAGGTTAGAATGGCTGGCCAGTAAGCCCTAGGGACCCATTGGGATTTCAAGAATATACCACGTCACCGGCTTGTTTGTTTGTTTTGTTTTAATTCATGTTCTTGTACATGCATGGCACCGAGTGAATCATCTTCCTAACTTATGAATTCCTGGCACAATTTCCAACAGATTTGTTCCCACCATAAATCTTAGCAACCTCAATTTATGACTGTTTTTCTTTATTTAATCCAGAACGGTCACCTCATCACTTAAAGGAAATGATTGACGGGCTCTCACACTCCCCTGAGACATGCTGTGCATGTACTGTGAGGTGGGGGGGGGGGGACACAACGGGCTAGGACCTAGGCTGTCGAGGGTAGGAGAAAGCATGGAAAGTAAAGCCAATAGTGGGGAGGGGCTGCTGTAGGCGTGGTGTCTACTTCTTCCACCACAAGCTATTTTCGCCCCCACCCTCAAATGAAAATGAAATTCAAATAAAGATGTCTCCTAAATCTCGTTTACAATCACACATCGCCAGTGAGTTCTATAGAGATACAGGCAATGTCCCCAAATGAACTCCGGAACTCTGAACCACACCCACAGGCAGACCAGGTTACTCCTTCCCTGGGAAGCTTGCAGCTTCCAGCTACACCGCAGTTTCTCAACCCGTGGGTCGCGACCCCTTACGGGATCGATAGACCTTTTCACAAGGGTTGCCTAAACCTATCAAAAAAAAAAAAACCCACAGATATCTAACAGTAGCAAAGTAACAGTTATGAAATAGAAGCGACAAGGATTTTAAGGTTGGGGATCGCCACAACATGCGGAACTGTTGAAGGGTTGCAGCATTAGGAAGGTTGAGAACCCCTGCGCTAAACCCTGAGGTGGCCAATACTCACATAGGGACCCGGTACGCGGAGACCTCAACACTAGGTACGCCAGGGTACCCGAGGATGCAGCCTCCAGGGCATGGGTACCAGGCGTGGTGCCCACAGGCAAGGAGAGCCTGGGGATACGCGCTAGACCGTAGTACCGCCCTCGAGGCAGCAAGCCAGCGGATTGGATGAGAGTTGCAGGATGCTCCTCCTGAGCGCGCAGGGCGCACACTCCAGAAAGACCCAGACGGGGCAAGCTGGTACAGGCTCGCGGGCACCCTTAACTCTGCAAGGTTCCAAGTTCCTCGCCATCCCGGGAACCGCCTTGGTTTTCCATATCTTACCTTAGTCTCTAACCCACTGACCCCAAGACGCGCACCTTCTTGGCTCCGGGCTCTTCCTGGCTGGGTCCCACCCAGTGTCACTCCAGCTCAAAACGCGGCTGTTTACTCCGATTCTTAGCGGGACTAGGTGAGCACAGGCCACCTCTATAGGACTATCTTGCCTCCATCCTATTCTCCGTAAGTTCTTATAATGAAATTGTTGATGATAAACTGATATGCGTGGGTTTCTGTTTGTTCAGTAGGTTTTGGGTTTGTTAATTTGAGATGGTCTGGCCTCGAATTTGAGGCAATTCTCCTGCCTCTGCTTCCCGGGTGCTGGTTTTGTGCACCATCGTACCTGCTTAAGATGCGTGGTGTTTTGAGATGAGTATCCCCTTCACTCCCCGACCCACACACATCGCACTTCGAGGCTAAAACTTGCGCAAAAGCACAGTCAATGCAGTTTAGACCCTCCTTTGAATTATGCAAACGACAAGCATTATTAAGACCAAACAAAAGTTACTTGATATGTCATCCCATTTATCGAAATTAGTGAGGAACACAGATTTTATACATTTGATATAGCTCAGAAGAGGGAGGGGAATTCCCAGGACTCGGGCCATTTGACTGTTGCCTTTGAAAAGGTGGTTGTTAGAAACCCACTTCCCTCTACAAGCGCTGTTACCTTATAAAGCTAAAAGACTTCCCAGGCTCTCCCTTTCTCCTCCCATTGCCACGTTAGAAAAGTAAGGAACACACACATGAGTGAGTTTGGAAGAACAAACCCTGAAGTGCAAAGAGGCTCGCTTATTTGTACCCTAGCTCCGGGTTTGAGAGTTCTTGATGCATTCGTTCAGGAGAAGGTGAGGCATAGTTGCTTATCCAGAAATTTGTCTGCGAAGACAAATAATGAGGCTAAAACAGAGTTTTCACTTATATCTCTTACCAGTGGATGTGGCAGAGCAAAGCCCACAACTTCGTTTATGTGGTATTCTTCAAGGATCCTGTTAGAACCTTCCATTGGTGATGCCTCACTGTGTGCCATTGCTGTCTACTTCACTGACCCCTCTTGGCCACTGAAGGAACTGAAGGAAGTTTGTCTTTATAAATACTTGGGCCAATCACAGCTGATACGTAGGCAGGGCAGGGCAGGGAGAAGTGGCTTCCCCTTGGGAAAGTTTCGTTTTCTATTTTATGTATTTGTAATTCGGCAAACAATAAAATCACAAAGCATCTCTATTCATCACATGAAGAAACTAAACATTTATATTTCTTATCAGATTTATTCCTCAAGGACATCAACTGTTGACTATGATGTACCTGGGTTTCCAGGACACATTATGGAGGCTTCAGCCCTGGAAATGCCTCCACCCTGTCAGTGACTTAGAAAGCCACCTGCTACCCCAGTAAGAGAATTAGGAGTTCAAGCCACGATGGGCACAGCTGAAGTGAAAGGAAAAACCTGGGGACAGGTGACCAGGAGAGAGCATTTTACTTTAGAGAAACTTTCCAAGTTTGAGTCTAAAATAAAGACTATCACGACAGCTAGGGTCCTAACTACCATAGTTATCTGTTATTGGCTTTTATATGAGCTTCCATAGGTCTTTAAAAATGTCAGTGTCAAGTCTCCGTAGCCCTGAAAGCCAACCTGGGAGACAAAGGTTAGCAAGCCTCTTCAGAGCTGCAGAGAGCTTTTGGTGGCCTGAGCCGATCCGTACACAGACCTCCCTCCTGGGTATCTTACCTTGATGTCTGTCTGTGCCAAGCCTAGTGGAGGGCACTCTTCTTCACAAGGCTAGTGAGTCATTTCCTGGTCAGCCACCTTTTCTATGGCATTTGGCAACAACTCTGCACCTCTGGGGATTTTCTAGCATGCTCAAGACTAAAGTAGAGGTTCAAATAATGAAACATGTTTCTCACAATACAAAATTGAGACTCTGTCTGATAAAGGCTTACAGAGTACATGCAAGCTTAAGTCCACTTTGATGCAATGGTTTTTTTTGTTGTTGTTGTGTTGTTTTTTATTTTTAAGGCAGGACCTCAGTCTGTAGAGTCGTTACTTGTTCTTGTGAAATACTGAACCAGAAAAAGAAATCACGTCGTCCTTTTTGATGATCAGGAAAAAAAAAGCAAAACCTTGTACAGTACATTAGAAGAAAATGCAGGCTTATCACGCAGACCATCAGGTGCTCTGGGAAATGAATTAATGAGCCGTGGCTCTGGAACATTCTAGAACAGTCTGACATCATTGTCGTATGATGGCTTTTCTCTGAACAGATGGCTTTTACAAGAATATGTTCTCGTTATTAAAAAAAAAAACCAGTCAGGAAAATCGAAACCAAAAATGACACAGCAAAGAGAACACAATGGTGGTGTAAACTAAGTACTTCATGAGGGTGGGTTCGCTTGGAACCACGGTCAGGGCGGGGTCAGGAAGTCATATGATATCTTCAAGGTAGGACACAAAGTAAGGTTTTTTCACACGGAGCCCTATCATTTCTACCAGAAAGACAGATTCTAACACAGTATTGACAATTGGAAAATGTGCTAGTCTAAACCCGGAATGAAGTTCTAGAAATTCTGGCTTGGAAAAAGAAAAATATCTCAGAAGTAGTTCTAACGTTCTGAAGGCTGGTGAAGTTTCTCTGTTACCATGCTTGACCAGGTGCCTTCACCCCATCTTTGACGTCACACACACACGCTTATTTGCTCGCTTCTCTTTTGCGTCACACCCTCCAGGTGCCACGCATTTCGTACATCTGAAGCTGCATTGTACCCATCCCATCTTCTTGATTCCTACGTCCTCAGCCATTTGCCTTGACGTCCCCACTGCTGAGAGCATCATAGTTCCATGCTCTACCACAGACTCTCGTCTTCCTCCTGAGGGTCTCCCCTGTGACCTCGTCATCAGCCAGAGAGGTTGGGAACCTTGGCTCTACAGCTTCCTGCAGGTCAGTCATGCATGACTCTGCCTTCCTTATTAATGTCACCCGTTTGATAACTAGGGTGTTTCTCCATCGCTATTATATTTTCTGCTTAGACCTTTAGCTATACAATTCGTTTCCAATTTCCTTATCAACACTCCCATGGGAAAATCCCATTGTCCAGTGCACTGTGGCTGTGACTGACACCAGACACAAAGACCTAAAAGAGAACCCGCTGGGCGTGGCAGCACAGACTCAGAACTCAGGCTAGATTAAATGAGGAGTAGATCAAGAGTTCAGAGTCAGATGGAGCTATATAATAAGGCAATTAGCTAACTAATGAATCAAAATAAAAGATCTGTGGAAAAGTTGTCCAAGGTTATGCTAGACTAAACTTATTCCTTCTTAATACACGAGCCTCTGAAATACATCTTGCTTCCTTCCTAGCATTGTTATTATCCTTAAAATATGTTTATTTTTTAAATAAAGGGATTCTAAGTTAAAAAACAGAAGGATCTAGGATCCACATGCAAGAAGAATTTAAAATAATTAAAACACCAAAATCTGCTGATATTTTAATATTTGAAAGATTATTTGGCACAACATTTTTGGTGCAAGTTTATAGCAGGCCAATTCTTCCCCATGAAAATTTAGTGTCAGGGATTTTCTAAAAACTTTATTGGAAGCGAGGACCTTCATAGATGTCTAATTGGGGAATTTTCTGAATATTCCTGAAAGGGGATTCCTGTGATTCAGCAGTTTCTGTTCCTTTAGTTGCCTTGACAAAACACAATTCACTACTCCTTAAGGAAAACACCACCTTAGACCTCAGAGCACCTGTGTCCTCCTGGTAGCGGTCGGACAGATGCTGACATGGCCTCACACAGGATGCAAGACTATGAAAAACAGAAGACAGCAGGAAGAGACACGGGGGACTAAGTGAGAAAATAGATGGCAAACTGATTTGTTTAACATTAAAAAGTAGAGGGAAAGACTGGGAAGTCTTTTATATAGCAAATATGAATAACAGCAAGATGAGTATTATAGTTCTTCTCAGTTATGGCATTACTCAGAATTTATGAACTTGCAGATCTGTCAGAAGAAAAATACAGATAAAGATTCATAGAAAAATATGGTTACAGGATGTACATGTTTATCTATGTGCACACACACAGAATCCCTATGAGATGTTGGGTGTGTTGAGGGAATCTCACATAGGTATTATCTTGGTCTTACTCGAAAGAACAGAGGCAGTATTTAAAGAATTGGGGGCAGAGAATCTGTAACCTTGAAAGACACAAAGTCTCGTGTACATGCAGAGTATGTACTTCACGGAGGTTAATGACAAACGCAGCCAATCATGTTAACGCTGCTCAGAATCAAAACCAAAACCCATTTACAGATTATTCTAGACAAACCAAGGACCTTTAAATGATCAACAATGAAACTGACAGTTGAATAACAAATGATTGAATTCTGTTGGCAACGAACGTGATACCTTAAAAGACCTCGTGGTCAAGAGTAAGTCCAGTAAAACAAGAAAGGATAACTCTCAAATGCAAATAAAATGAAACTACTATAAAGCAGAGTAGATGTTTATTACCAGCAAGTCCGCAATTAAGACAGGATTTGTGTATATTCAGAGAGAAAACAGTTCAGGAGAAGATGCAAAGATATGACTGCATGAATGCCTATAAAACAATGAAAGCCAAACTTGGTGATGCATGCCTTTAATCCCAGCATTCAGGAAGCAGACAAGTGAATTGCTGTAGGTTGGAGGCCAGCCTGGTCTGCATAGTGAGTTCCAGGCCAGTCGTGGCTGCATAGTCAGTCCCTAACACACACACACACACACACACACACACACACACACACGAAAGAAAAAAACTATTGCAACAATAGTAGTACTCATATTTACTTAGATACATGGTGGATAGGCATATGTATATTGAATTTGAATATATATCAACAATTCATATCTCATAAGTGTGAAGAGGGCTAAAAATAATGTTAAAAGATTCTTACATGCTCTGGAAATAGATGAAAACCAATTCATTAAAATATATAGAGGTTTGTTTTTAACCTCCAGACTTGGTATTCTGTGTGTGCTTGTGTGTGTTTGTGTGAGTGTGTGTGCATGCACGTGCATTCATGCCTGCCTGTATTTAAATTTTAAGCATCAAGTCAGTAGACTGGGAAACGCTTGTTTGTAAACAAACATCAACACAAGAGAAGACGTTTACAAAGAAGAAAGGAGAGACAGTGAAGACAATGAATCGTCCAGTGGTGTATAAACTGTGCAAGGAAAAAATGTTGAAAATGTATGATCCCGGATTGAGCTAAAAAATAACTACATGCCATTTAAAGATATATATATGTGTGTGTATTTCTATCTATCTATATATCTATATCTGTATATTAAATCCTATGTATCTGTCTGTGAGTGGGTGTAAGCCCGAAGAGGCCAGAAGAGTGTGTCAGATCTCCTGGAGCTGAAGTTACAGGCCACTGTGAGCTGCTCAGTATGAATGCTGGAAACCTAGCATGGCTCTTCCACAAGAGCACTATGAATTTTTAACCACTGAGCTTTCTCTCCAGCCCTGAATGGTTTAATATATAGAAACAGCATATACATTATACATTATATATTAAATGTGATGCAATTATATGAGTAATATTATTGTATATTATATATACAATATATAGCAATAATGTGCATATATTACTGTCATATATACAAATATTGTTATACATACATCATTATATATTGTATATATGTCATATAATATATAACAATAATGTTGTATATTACATGCCATATATACCATATGTATTATATAACACATGATATATTAATATAACCATTATATTAAATATATTGTTTAACATATAAAAATCTGAAATATAGCAAAAAAGGAATATAAGAAAAGTTAAAGATATGCATCATGCATGAAGGCATGCACAATAGGCAAGCATCCTCAAATGCAGGTAACAGCTGTTGTAACATGAATATTAGATTGAATATTAGATTAGGTTACATTTTGAGAATTTAGCTTGGCAGTAGAGTGCTTGCCTCTATACATCTACAAAGCTTGCTGAGTCTCATTAGTGTTGTCTGCTGGTGCTGTATGTGTTTAGGGTTGGGCCAGCCTCGTAGGACGGGGTAAGCCAGAGCTCATCCCAGGGGAAAACAGTCTCTCTTCCTCAGCAGCCTTCCTCTGACTGCCTGGAGCTCTTCATCTAGGGGAGGGGCCTTAGGACCTCCCAATCCATGTTGGTGTGTTAATAGAGTAGTCCTGTGGGGCAACCACATTGCTGACCGTTCCTGGGTGTCATTCCCAGAAGACACTGTCTCACAGCGGATGGCTCAGTCCTCTGGCTCTTGTAATCTTTCAGCCAGTTTTCCCACTGATATTCCCCGAGCCTTAGGTGCAGGGGTTGTGTGATAGATGTCTCATTTGGAAGTAGTCGCTCCACATTCTCCTACCTCTTCGTTTTGATCACTTGTGGAACTCTGTAATAGCCTCTGTCTGCTGCAAAACCTGCCCTTGGCGAGAGATGAGAGTTGACTCATCTACGGGCTTAAATGCAAGTATTTAGAAGGAAGCTGAAAACTGTATTAATTTAGCAACATGATGGTAGTAAGCTCTCTTCTAGGATCTGTGGATCAGGGTACAGTTCCAGGCACAAATTTTGACCTTTAGAATGGGCTCTAAACACAATTGGAGAACTGTTGGTTATCCCCAAGATGTAAGTGTCACGATTGAACCCTTGGGACTATCCTGCTGGGACGGTCCTTGCTGTGTTTCTCAGGAGCTACAGCCATGTCGTACTGCTGATGACATCTCCCTTGGCAGCTGCTTTGCACCTTCTAAGACTCTGAGAGTTAGCCCTCTGGGAGAAGGCCTCCAGAACAGCGCCAGCTTCATCTCTCCAAGGCCTGTGGTGGAAGTGTGGAGTGTCTTCAGCAATAGGTCTTATCTTCAGCAGCCTAGAGCAATGGCGGTAGCCTACATTGCTTTAGGTGTCTTGGACTTCCTTGACCAACAACTTGAAGGGATTTATCCTTTGTCTGGCAATAGGGTTTTTGTTAAGTCTATGGCTCTTGCTCAGTGAGTATACTCTTCATGTGGGGTAACTCCATTTTTATGTAAACATATAGAGTAATAAGCTTCCTTCCTCTTTGCAAATATCCTTAGTGCTATGCACCTGTCTTCTCTCCCTCTCCCTCAGTACCTCCCTCCCCTTCGCAGTTAAGTACTTTCCTTTCCTCACTTCCCCTCCCCCTTCCTAGAAGCCAGTCCTGCTATCTCCTCTAGTATGTTTAACATATGGGCTTTTTAATGTAGCAGTTATCTCATTTTGAATCAAATTATAATTTTAATTGCTAATCAGTTTACCAGTTTGAATTTCATTCTGCAGAAAGTTGGTGTTGATACTGATGTGTGTGTTGGTGTGAGGACTGGTGTGGGTGTGGGTGTTGGTGTGGGGACTGGTGTGTGTGTTGGTGTGAGGACTGGTGTGGGTGTTGGTGTTGATGTGGGGACTGGTGTGTGTGTTGGTGTGGGAACTGGTGTGTGTGTTGGTGTGGGAACTGGTGTGTGTGTTGGTGTGGGTGTTGGTGTGGGGACTGGTGTTAGTGTTGGTGTGGGGACTGGTGTGCATGGTGGTGGCCAGATGATGGTGAATGTTCCCAAACCTTTCCCAAATTCTCCAAAGATCAAGTTTGGTGCACAGGGATAGAATTGGAGGTGTAGCTCAGTTGGTAGTGTGGACATTGGAGTGGGTAACAGTTCACATCCTACCCAAGCAGCAGTGGTGCCAACAGTTACAATGGGTCTTCCTATACAATTAACAGTCAAGATGATCCCTTATAGCCCTCTGCAGAGGCTGACCTTGGCCTAGATAACCCCCTACAGCTGTCTACAGAGGCTGACCTTGACCTAGATAACCCCTTACAGCCAGCTGCAGAGGCTGACCTTGGCCTCGATAACCCCTTACAGCCACCTGCAAAGGCTGACCTTGACTCAGATAACCCCTTACAGCCAGCTGCAGAGGCTGACCTTGGCCTAGATAACCCCTTATTGGTTCCTAGGTGATTCTAGATTCTGTCCAGTTGGCAGTTGACATTAACCATCATGGGAAGAGAGCATGGAGACAAAAGTCATTTTTGGCTAAACACCTAATATCCCCCGAGGCTTCTACCATCCAGCCCGGGAACTCTGGGAAAGTGCCCTGATGGGTCACAATCTCTTGCTGGCCAGCTGTTTAGAGGAAGGATATTTTACTCATAACTTGTTAGGATATTAACTTGTTAGATCTGAACTGTATTAGATTTTAGCAGTTCAAAAGATTCTGTGACCATGTGAGCAACATAATTTTTCCTTCCAATATTTCCTCTTCAAAAAAATTAATTAACCCAAGTACGGCTGGGGATGTTTATAATTCTAACACTTGGGAGACTGAGGCAGGAGGATGGCAAATTGGAAGATAGCCTGGGTAACACAGACTGTTTAGGTAAAAATAAACATGGCCATTCATTTTTTTTCTCTTGCTTTTTCCTTAGTTCATTCATTGAGTCAGAAAGTCCAGTAATTATTCTGATTTGTCTGTGAACTTGAGGGAGCCTGCTACTCACAGATGTTCAACACAAATGGGTCACAGGTCACCACTGCTGGTCACAAATATGTCTTGCTTTGCCCACAAATCAACGGTGACCAGTAGAGAAATTACATGGTTTCAGTATGAGATGGATCCCATGAACTTAGTGTAATCAAGAAAGAGTCTCTGGACCAGCGCTAGCAGTGGCTCAGACAGGTAGGAGCGCCTAATGCTCTGCCCTGGTGCCAGGGGTCGCCCTGGTACCATTTGTCGCGGGTTAGAATCCCGCGACAAATTATGCGATAGCGATAATCATAATAACTCGATGATAAAATCGCTGATCAATCGCTGCCGATTAATAATCGGGAAAAAAAAGTTTGGGGGCTGGAGAGATGGCTCAGCGGTTAAGAGCATTGCCTGCTCTTCCAAAGGTCCTGAGTTCAATTCCCGGCAACCACATGGTGGCTCACAACCACCTGTTACGAGGTCTGGTGCCCTCTTCAGGCCTGCAGACATACACACAGACAGAATATTGTATACATAATAAATAAATAAATAAATAAATACATTTTTTTAAAAAAAAAAAAAAAGAAAGAAAGAGTCTCTGGTTGCAATGGTGCATGCCTTAATCCCAGCGCTGGGGAGGCTGGGAGAAAGGAGAATTGCCGGCAAGTTCAAGGCCAGCCTTGGCAACACGGTGAGTTCCCTGTGCTGAGGGTCTAAACTCTGATTCTCACATTCGTGATGGCAAACATTTTATTTAGAAAGCATTCTCCCCAGGTCTTCAGCAAGTGAGGTTTTAAACTTTGTTTTATATTTTGTGTTTCTGCAATGGACAAGATCACATGAAATGCAGTGGTAGAGATTATGAATATTGACTTGATGAAGAACTGTGATCAGAGACGACATCTGTTAGGAATGTGGAATTAGAGCCATATATGCTCGATGTCTGCATCCTCAGCCATGTCAACGAACAGATATAGGAATATATATTTTTGCTATTTTTGGAACAATGTTCGATCAAAACTAGCCTTGAATTCCCTGTGTAGCAGAGGATGATATTGAATTGGAAAAAGTGCTCAGGGGTTAGGAACAGGGGAGAGAAAATGACAGCCACCTCTACACAACTGTATATAACATAAAATTCTGAGTAAAATGAATAACTTAGAAAATGCTAAAAAAAAAATAGTAATAAATTAGGCCGGGCAGTGATAGTGAACTCTTTTAATCCCAGCACTGAGGAGACAAAGGCAGGCAGATCTCTGTGAGTTCAAGGCCAACCTGGTCTACAAAATGAGTTCCAGGACAGCCAGGGCTACACAGGGAAACCCTGACTCAAATAAACAAAACAAAGTAAAGTTGGGTATACCAGTTGGAAGGGTTACTTGGCCTTTGAAGAGCACTCAGGTGTGCCTCCTGGAAGTTCTTGATTATACTGAAGCTCACAAGCTCCCCAGTTGCCCTGTTCTAGAGTGGAATAAAGTCAGGTCTATTCTAGGTGTGCCAGGCTGGATTTGCTGTTCATGGGTCCTGGGATTTTTTTTCTCATTTCAGAAGCTTCAACAGAGCATTTTTGCTACCATGTGATGCTGTCTATCATACATGAGGGCAGGCATAACGGTCTTAGTTTCCTGGAAGATTTTGGCAGAATTACTATCAACTTGTCCTTCAGGGTTGGTTAGAATTCTTCTTTGATGCTGTCTGGGTCTACAGTGATCTTTCTGGAAATGGTTTTAATTGATTGTATTTCTGTATCGAGTAGAGGGCTACTGAAGTAACTTATTCTGAATTGTTTGTGGCACTGTGGTTGGGTGGTATTTTCTGTTGCATGTGAGATCCATGTTGCCTGTAACACACATAACCAACACCATCTGTCTCCCCCACATGTCTGCTGCGGAGCCACTGGAGTCCTGTGCCCTTGCCCTTCACTAGCTGCTCTGGGGGCTTCGGTCTGTTCTCTTATTCAAGCAAATCCCACGAAAGGTCAGATCCATGATCTCGCCCTACATCTTGGACTCATCCATGCCTTTTCTGTCTTTTTAGAGTAAAAACTAATTTGTTTTCATTCATGATCCTTTCCCCACTTTGTCTTCCTTAAATTTGTTACTCTGTCCAAGCCCCAGGTCTGTGGGGCAGAAGTTTCCAGGGTGAGGACTTTGGACAGCGCTCCCAGGGTTTGCCACTAGCCCCCTTTGACCCGCTGTTTGTCACCTGTCATTCACAGCCTCTGGAGAGACACAGAGAAGCCTCCACTTGTGCATGTATCCATTTTATTTTACAAAAGTCTGAGGTTTAAACTGTATCCAGGGGATAACAGAGGGATTAGGACACACATTTTCTCCTTTGATCTATTCATCGCTAAACTCCTTGGCAGCTTTCTGATGTGATGAATAACTTGCTGTAATGAAGAAGAAAAGAGAAATTCACAATTGGGTCAAGAACCAGACCTGCTTCTGGGTTTCCACCTAAAGTTACTTTCAAATACACAAACATGAAAAATCAAGCCATGGCAGACGTGCTTAATCGTTAGGGATCTGTCTAAGAAGTGTGAAAGGGAGATGGCGTGTATGCTTTAGATGACATGTATGTTTATTTAGTATTAATAAGTATTTAATAAGTAATAAGTATTTAATAAGTTTATGGTTGGGGGTCACTTTAACAAGTGGGATTGTATTCAAGGGTCACATAATTAGCAAGGTTGAAAACCACTGCCCTAGACCCTGGGGTGGTCAATACCCTCCTTGACATTGAGACCTCAACAATAGGTATCCCAGGACATCCAAGGATGCAGATTCCAGGGCACTCTTAGCAAAGGTACCAGGCATGGTGCCCATTGGTCTGGGAGTCCAGGCTGTACACCAGTATTAACAGAATGCTGTAGCTAATATTCAGATTGGTAATTTGAGTTCCAATGAAAGCTGCAAGTTCTTATTTGCTCATTTTCAGATAATACGTTTTGCTGTGATAAAGTGTCCACAGTATAGAATTAAATCCTTTACTTCCCAAGTTGTTTATAGTTATGTTGTTTTATCACAACAATAGAAACACTAACACACACACACACACACACTTACATACACACAAAACATGTGTACACACAGATACACCCAAACACAATACATACATAACCACATATATACCCATATATGTACACATATACACACAGAGATATACATACATACATGAATACTGTCACAAACATATTTAATAGTAGAATTTAAATTTTCAACTTGGAGAGTACTTTTTGCTACATAATTAAGTTGTCCATCAATGCTTGAATACATATATGCAATATCTACATAGAAAAATAAAATATAGAACACCTTAGCCTTAAATAGAAACCAAAATGAAGTAATAGAAGCTTTGGCAAATGTCTAGGCATGAATTAGGCAAAAATTTTGAATTTATTTATTTATTTTTTTTTTTAGTAAATTTTATTAAATTATAAAAGTTTCCATTTCCGCCCCCCCTCCCAACACCCTCCCACTCCCCCCACTCCCCCCCTCCTTCCCCTCCGTCCCCCAGGGCAGTCAGGGTTTCCTGCCCTGTGGGAAGCTCCAGCTCCCTCCCCCTCCCTCCAGGTACAGGAAGGCGAGCGTCCAAACAGACTGGATCCCCAAAATCCAGCATATGCAGAGGAAACAGGTCCCAGTGTCATAGTCAATGGCTTTTCAGAAAGACCCCGGGCCAGCCACAGTCAGAGAATCCGGCCAAATTCCGAGAATCTGGCTAGATCACGTCCTCGTTCTCAAGGAATGGCCAACTCTGCCGGGCTGAGCCATAAGGATGGTTGGATCCTTTTGTTACAATGAATGTATAGTGACATCTTGTGGTCATTCCAACAATTGCAATTGAACATTTTAAGTAAAGTTGATCAACAAAAGATGTATGAAAAATAATTTTGCTGTGAAGATAGGAGGGCGCTGCTCCTTCCAAATCCTCAGGGGACTAATAGGTGGCTGGAACCTCCTGGAAGTGTATGATGTGTAGTCCGTGACGTGTGGCAGCTTCATAGGGTTCTGCAGGTAAACACATCCAACCCCAGCACCACAAGCGGTTTACAGAGTGTGTAGGCAGGGCTCCAGCGACATGTGAAAGAGTGACAGATGATCCCACTGGTGGCTTTTTGGAGAAGCAACCTCAAAAGGGGGCACATTTTTATGACCCCAAACGCTTTTTTCACTAAATTCAATCAACAGCCTAAACTCACAAGGGGCACCTGACTTTCCATAAGCGATACTGACAGACATCCGTACCACTGGAGGCCTGCTCTTTGTGTGCCAGACTTGAAGAGCCTGTATCTTGCAAGCATCTGCTACAATAGGCTCATGGGCAGCGTGATGTGAGCCTGTGTTGGCCAGCTTGGGAATTGTCTTTTTCTTTGCCTGTATATTATTCTCAAATGGAGGGGACAATTCTGCGCTATCCCCTCCCACCCTCTGGTTCCTCCAGCCATGAGAATCAGTGCATATCAGTTGTATTCATTCTGTTTCTCTGACACAAACTGACCCGAAAAAAAATTCTTCCCTTAATGCACGATCGTCCTTGAACTCCCCCGAGCTATACAGGGAATTAAGCCTGGTGCTAAAGAATTCCTTCAGCAAACAGAGTGTTAATTATCCTTTGTGCATACCACACAATGAGAACCCATCCTTCTAGGTCAGGAGCCCCCACCCCCTGCCCTTACCAGGGCAGCCAGTAACATTGCCAGCGTCACTACTGACAGCCTGTGGTTTCAGATCTGCATCCTCCTTCCGGAGACCAGATTTTTCTCTGGGGTTGATTTGTGTGGTGCCATCATCTGGAAAGGCTGACAATTTACCAGGCAACAAAGCCTTCAGGAGGCCCTAACAATGCAGTTCACCAACTGAGCCCAAGCGTGTAACCTCTCTGAGACCAGCTCCACACAGCCAGGTGTGGCAGACTCGCTTCTGTGGCAGGCAGCACACACCTCGGCTGGTCACACAAGGCCACAAGGCTTTTCAAGAGAAACTGCAGCTTGGCCAACCATGAGTTAGGGATTTAAGTTACTGAGTCTCTGAGCCTGGATTTCTCCAGACCCCACGTACGTCCATACCGTCACTCACTTCCCTGTTCCAAAGGTAAATGATTGGGCAGATTCTCGGGGCAGGCAGCCGAAAGCTCAAACTGGATTCTAAACTCGTCTGGAAAGGCCCATTTCCCCTTCCTACATTTCTGAAGGATTTATTTTTATTATTTTTTAAGTACAGGTACATTTTTGTGTGCACATGTGTGTGTGTATGTACATGTGTGTGTGTGTGTGTGTGTGTGTTTAGGTATGTGTACTTGGGTACAGGTGTCCACAGAGACCAGAAGCATTAAGTCCCTGAAACTAGAGTACATGCAGTTGTGTGCCACACTCAATGCATGCTGGAATCCAAACGTGGGTCCTCTGCCAAGACAGTATGTGTCCCTAACCACTGACCCATGTCCCCCTCTCCCCCACACACTGTTTAATCTTACAGCAGAACAGCCTGAAACCTTCATCCTCCTGGAGTCAGGGAGCCATACTCAGAAATGGAGCAGCCTCCATGACTTACTAGTGCCTCTGCACTCTGACTGCAAATGGTCGTTTTCTCTCTTCCTCGAGGAGAGAGGAGGGGTGTTCTAGCTGACATTTCAGAAATTCAGTTCCCAGTGCAGTGTGGAACACAATTAGAAAAAGATACAGGGAGCTCAAGTACTGAGAGAGAAAGTTAAAACAATTCAACTTCTATGGGGCCAAAAATAGTTCATATGTAGGAGTCAACTAAACCATCAAAATGCAGTTCCATTTAACCCAATAGGCTAACCCTATGGATTGTATTTACCCCTCATTTTTGGCATTCTCTCTGAGGCAGGATTTTCCTTTCATTTCTCTTCATGATCCCAATGATGATGCTTAGGACAAAAGGCAGAAAGATGAAGAAACCCAGGATCAGCCAGCTGTCCTGATGCTTGCTGAAGCTCTTTGCCGCCAAAATTATGTCTGGAAAGCAAACACCAGAAAGGACAGGTTGAGCTGAAGCTTAGACTCCTTTTTTCCACTTTAATCTCATGTATGCATAATGTGCTTAATATGTGCTTAATACGTTGGCAAACTGCAAGCAACTCTCTTGGGGGAAATAAGAGAACACTTCAAAACTACATGACACGTTTTTCATATGTCTTTTTCTGCATATTTATTTAATATTCTGGTGCTCCCTACTTGTTTGGAAGGATATTGGTTTTGTGTGGTTCATTGGTTACATCAATAATTCAAAAGATTCCATTGAACGACCTCTCCACACTCCAGGGCTCAGAGTTCTTCTAGAATGGGGGACAAGATCACCGTGTCCACAGTAGAGACCTGCAGATGACCACATGCTGGATATTTCAAATGCGGCAAGGAAGGATGCTGAGGGCTTCCCCGCTAAGCCACAAATGCTGGAAGAGTCAGGTCTGCTCAACCTGACTCAAATTCTTAGTTTATATATAATTTAATAGTTATTTTCATTTAAATATCTTAGAAGTCACTATGTTAACAGAGTTTAAGTGAAAATGCAAGAAAACTTTTGTCCACAGTCTTGCCAAGTAAGTTCCTCTCCTTAGATGCACACATTCTTATAAAACTCCATCTTTCCATGCAGTACTAACATTTTAGGCACACAGAGCCTCGTCTTTCCACCTTCACCACATCTGTCTGTATGTGCTGAGTATCTTGGAATAAATACAACCAAGGCAGTGAGAGAATTAGACAATAAAAGATTTAAGACACTGAAAAAAAAACCCTGAAAGATAGATCACCTATGCTCATGAATTGGTAGGATTAATACTGTGAAAATGGCTAACCTACCAAAAGAAATCTGTAGATTCAGTGCGATCTGTACCAAAATCCCAAAGCAATTCTTCATGGAACTTGAAAAAAAATTAAATCTCATATGGAAACACAAAAGGTCCAGTAGAGCCAAAATAATCCTAAACAATAAAACAATCTGCTGATCATATAACCATCCTAGATTTCAAGTTATGCTACAGAGCTATGGTAATGAAACATAAAAGCATTGATACATGGAACAGAACTGAAAACCTACGAACAAGCCTGAACTGCAATCAGCACCCAAGTTTTTACAAAGAGACCAGAAATACACATTGGGTAAAAGATAGAATCTTCAATAAATGGTGCTAGTCAAACTGGCAACTCTAAGTACAAGAATGAGGCTAGATCCTCATCTCTCTCTCACTCTACAAGAAAACTAAACTCCGAATGGATCAAAAACTTCAACATGAGACCTTATACCATGGATTTGATAGACGAGAAAACAGAGAATAAGGTTGAACTCAGTGGCACAAGAAAGGATTCCCTGAGCGGGAACCCAGGGGTGTAAACATTAAGACCAACAGTTGACAGGTGGGGCCTCATCAAACTAAGAAGCCAATGTACAGCAAGGGGTGTGGTCATCTATAGGCAGCCTACAGAATGGGACAATGTTTATCAGATACAGGTCAAATAGAGGGCTAGTGCCTAGGGTACATAGAGGGGAAAGCAAACAAACAAACTCCCCAAAACACCTGAACATCAAGAGAAAACAACAACCAAATTAAAAACTGGTGTGTGGAACCAAACATGGTGTGTGGAACCCAACAGAGTTCTCAAAAGAAGAAACGCAAATGGCGTTAGAAAACATTTTTTCTAAATGTCCAACATCCTTAGCTGTTGGGGAAATGTAAATTAAAACTACTTGGTAGTTTCATATTATCCCAGTCAAAATGGCCAAGAAAACAAAAGCAAAATCCCCCAAAAGATGATGACAGATGCTGATGTGGATGTAGGGGAAACACTTACTCTCTACTGGTGCAAGGGCAAAGTTGTGCAGCTACTGTGGACGCCAGTGTGGCGGCTTCTCAAACAGCTCTGCTCTCTTGGGCATCTATCCAATGGACCCTATATCCTGTGTTACAGAGGTACCTGACCATCCATGTTCAGTATTATTCTATTCATAGTAACTAGGAAATGGACTCAGTCCAACTGCCCACTAGCTGGTGCATGGATAATGAAAATATAGGAGATTTACATAATGAAAGATTATCCAGAAGTTAAGAAAGATGAAGTCCACAGGTAAGTGGACAGAACTGGGACAGATCATTCTGAGTGAGACAACCCAGACCTAGAAAGACAAACATTACAGTTTTCTCCCATTTCTGGGTATTGGCTTTGGGTCGTCAGATATGTGTGTTTAATTTGGAATAGCCACAGAGGTCAGAAAATTAATAAAGGGACATGGGGGGGTCTTTTAAAGGAGGGGGGAGGAAACAGTGGCATAAGGGTGAAAGGGGAGTAATACAACCAGAAGGAGGGAATGGGAGGGCAGGGTGGGGGAATACAGGGAGGGACAATAAGACTAAGGACATTTTTTAAAAGTCATATGGAAATGTACACTGTAGCAGTACATACACACAGAACAAAGCTGCAATGGTCTTGTGCACTAACGGGGTGACGAAGCCTCTCTTAGACACCAGGGCCCAGCAAGTGACCAGCATCTGGAACAGGTTACCTCTTTTGGAGTATTAGGCCCATGGTGTCTCATAGTTCCAGCAAACACTACAGGCCAATACGCTTGGCTACCCCTAGAATGAGATGGTGAGACCCTCCTGCTGAAGACACCACATGTTTGAATCACAGGACATAGAAATAGCAGTCTGTCACCTCCTGGATGTTTGGTGTCTACTGGGTGGTTTGCGCAGTGCTGGTGAGTGCTGTGTAGACTACCAAGGGAAAAGTAAGCCAAAGTCTTCCCCAGCTGTGAACCAAGAGAGCTACAACAGTGGCTGGCCTGACAGGAAACTGTGGCTAGAAATGTCATAGGCCCTAGAGAAAAACCCACTACTATTGGGATTAAAAAAAAAAAAAAGTGGGAGAGGACCCAAAATTGGTTGGGCTGGGTAGCAGGGGAGAATCTACGGAGAGCAGAGGGAGGAAGTAGATACAGTCAAAATGCTTTGTTCAAAATCCTCGAGGAACTAAAAACTGAGAAAAATCTTAAATATTTTTATGTTTTATTAAACATATTTTATTATTCGGCTAAGTGCAGATATAATATTAAACTGACCCAGAATCATCCTTCCCGTAGATTTGGCACATCCTCCCATCCTCATCCTCATCTTTTAACAGTAGGTGAACGTTAACAGAGACCCATGCATGGTCAAGATGCAAATTATAGGACTGCAGAATGCCCAGCCTGTAAATGACACAGCCACACCACACCCCTCCCCCACCAAGGCTCAAGGTTCCCTGCAGAGTGGGCAGAATGATTGGCAGACGTGGAGGTGGGGGGTAACTACGAGAGACTGTCGTTTTCCGGACACAGCAGGACACATAGGCACTCAAGAGGCTTTGATTGGATGCCCCAGACCTGTGCAACGCTCAGTCAGACAAACACCAGCGTGGAGGGAGGGGGCACAAAGTCCCACCCGTGACAGAGCAGCGGCTGTCAATTGATAGCTCAGGGAGAGGGGGAGTTGAGCTTCTTTCGTCACGTAAGTCCTGAACATAGACCATGTTCTAGTGGAAGGGCACACATCCACGAGTATATGACCAGTAAAAACCGTACTTCATGGGTTGCAAAAAGAGAGAGGACCCGGAGCTGGGTAATTAGGAAGGGAGCGTGGATCCAGAAAGAACCAAGGGAGGGTGGTAAATATGATCAAAATATAAATTATTCAAAATCTTCAAGGAACCAGCGAAAATATGAAATAAAAATTCATTTCTGAGAATTGTCAACAACAAAATCCTTTTCGTTTCAGTACCACAGAGTTTCTCCTTTTCTTCTGTGTTCGCCTGGTGACACAGGTGCAGTGCAGTGGACAGGGTGCCAAACATTGAGTCCTTCTCCTTGTCCTCTCTCCCTTCCCTCAGTCCGTAGCCATAACCTAAGGTTTTCTCCACTGCTCCTTCCTGATTGGACTACGGTGCTGGCAGAAGCGGCTGAGGGGAGATGACACCTGTCAAGGGGGGAGTCTGCTGCTCACACTCGTTATTCCAAATACTTCCTTCCCGTGACTAGAGGACTGGGTCTCTTTGGTTGACGCGTCATTTAACCATTCCAGCCGTTCTTTTCCCTTTCCTTCCTTTCCTCTGTTCTTCCATCGCATTGACAGGAATGTCGAAGCTGTCTCACCAATGACCCTTACGCCTATACTCCTCTCTAGTTACCCACAGGCCTACGTTCTCCTCCAGTTGCCCATAGGTCTATACTCTTTTTGACAAATAGTTCATGCAGTTTTCTGATATTATTCCGTCCTGACGAGAAACAAGAATCTAATTTTCTGTTTTGTTTTCTGCCTTTGTTTTCAGACCAGATTTCACACTGAAACCCAGGTTGACCTCAGACTTGGAGCAATCTTCCTGCCTCAGTCTCTCAAGTGCTGGAATCTCAGGCAGGAGCCACCATGGCCGGCTTCAACCACTCCTTGTTTTAGTACATGTTTTTAGCACGGGCGCTTGTCTCAGACAGTGTGTTTCTAAAATGCCACGGCTCCCCGAAGTTACACAGTGTCCTTTCCACACTAATTGCGGCGGCCACCTAGAAGTATGAATTATGAGTTCTTCGTGTCCTTAGTGAATTATAAACAGCATTATTAAAAAATGCCTTCACATGAATTCCACAGAGAGCCAAACTGCTTGCTATTCAATTTTTTTTTCCTTTGAGATAGCGTCTGGCTAGTTTCCTCTCAGCTTGGCTCAAGTGAGAGTTGTTTTGAAAGAGGAACTCTCAGCTGAGAAAAGGACTCCGGAATGAGTCTGCAGGGCATTAATCAGTGACTGATGTGGGAGGGCCCAGCCCACCGTGGGTGGTGCAACCCGGGCAGGTGGTAGTCCTGGGCAATATCAGAAAGGAAACTGAGCAAGATAGCAAATAACAACCCCCACGGCCTCCGCAGCAGCTCCCGCCTCCGGGTTCTTGTCCAGACTTTCTTCAGGGACAGAGTGTGGTCTGAGAACTACAAGGTGAAATAAACCCTTTCTTCCCCAAGTTGCTGTGAGTCACAGCAATAGAGACCTAAATAACACAGAGAGGGGCTTTCTTTTAGCCCAGGCTAGCCTCAAACTTGTAGCACTCCTCCTGCTCCAGATGCCTGCGTGTTGAGATTATATCGTGTACCGCTCTCTGTACAAATTTAAACAGACTGTGTTCATGCTCCTTCAACCCTTGACTCTCAAGGAGATGTGTCCAGCATCCTTGAACCTCGTTTCAGGGGCCAGGCATTAAGTCACAACCACGTTTTAGTCACTGCTATTTTCAAATACTTGACTTATGAGACAATTTATTCATTGTCCGCATATATATATCTACTTCAGGCCAACATAGCTAACGCCATTGCTTGTCAGGTAACACACTTTCATTATTAAACTTCCATGTTACTGATTATGTAGACTTTCCGAAACACGGATCTCCATATTAGTCCTTCTCCAAATACCTGATGACATGCTCATGGAGGAGATATATGAAGGAATAAATGATTGTACCAGCGAATGGCTTGTGATCTGGCTTTCATTCACCATAGGAACAAGGGAAAATAGGAGCACGTATTCAGAATGTGACTTACCATTATTTCCTGGTAGGGAATACTCTTACATTTTGCTGTACGTTTTTCTAAGTCTCAGTCAGAAGGAACAGCGTATTCCAGGGTTGCTTTTCAATAATTTTCTGTTTTAATAATATGAAATATAAACCTTGCATATAGTTTTCATTATTCTATATATGACTTTTAAAATTTTATTTGATGACACTTCTGAAACTTAGGGAGTGCAATTCTATTTTAGTTTATATCACTAAGTTGGTTAGAGTTGGTCAGAGGAAACGCATTACAAATATGGCACCCAGCTAATTTACCTTTAACTCGGCTGGGAAAGATGTGACAAAGATGTCTTTCTTCAATTAATACCACAGAAAACAACAGACTAGTTGCCTAGGAGGTTTATTTGTACTGACCTGACCTGAGAATGTTTCCATCGTCGATGCTGCCCCCTGGTGACCCAATCTGTAATTTACAGTCTGGAGGCCTGTAGTCAGGAAAGCATTGGCAATTACCAAAGTTATTACATATCTAAAACAGAAAAATATGTAGTCATTTTGAATCATCTTAGCAGGTAAATCTGATGTATGTGACTGAAATATGTAGAATACTTTAAAGGGTTTTATAGCATCTCATGCAGGCAGGCCATCGTTGTAGGTCACAGGGTTTGTATCTGGGCAATACTGGTGATTACTTTTCTCCTGGAGCATGCAGAGGACCTTCCAGCAACATGAATGGTAGCCACTAGGGGTGATGTTTCTAGCTGGGTACCAGCTTGACGTCTCATGTTTTCTGTTAGGTATGTGTGCTGTGATCCAAAGAGCCATGGATGTTCGGTCTACAGTAAGGGACCAGGAGAGGAGAGAATCTCATAAAGAAACGGAAATATAATACAGTGTTATAGAGGGGAAGGGAAAGCGTAGGAAGAATAGTAGGAGGGTGAAGTGGGGAGGGATGGGAGAACAGGCTAAATGTGGGGCGATGAGGAGGGACAGTTAACACAAAAGACTTCCTGAAAACCTGCTCTTACAGGAGTTTCTTAAAATTGTGTGTGTGTGTGTGTGTATGTGTGTGTGTGTGTGTGTGTGTGTGTGTGTAGATTGTAGAGGTCAGAAGAAGTTGTTGGATCCCCTAGAGCCAGAGTTACAGGACGCTGTAAACCATCTGTTGTAGGTGTTGAGAACTGGACTCAGGTCTTCTGGAAGAGCAGCCAGCATTCGTAACCATGGAGCCTCCTCTCTGGTCCTTGCAAATACTGCCATATTTCTTTAATTTGAAAACATTTCCTGCCTCTATGAATTGACATGGACCCTTTAATTCCCCATCCAGGCTCCCTTTCAACAACTGATTGACAATTTGTATGCCTTTGTATGCCATTATTTTTTTCCCAAAATAAAACAGATGTCAAAGAGAATGTGAATCACAAACAATAAGATGTGGTGGCATACCTTATAACCCCTGCTCTCAAATAAGAGTGAGCCCAGGGGTACCTAGGCTGTATAGTGAAGCCTTTCCTCAAAATGCACAACAAGTTTGTACTGCTACTTTAAATTTGGTAGTGTCTGTCCCTTTGGTATCAATCCTCTTTTATTTTAGTGTCTCAATATTTAATTTTAAAATTAAACAAGTATTTATTTTGTGAAGCTAAAGTGACGAAGCAATTAGAATATATGGAATTATGGATCCTCAACTAATAATGAACTCCCTGGGGCTCTTGCTAGACAGTTTATCTGGGTGTGGCACACAGCTGTAATCTCAACGCTCGGGAGGCTGAAGCAGGAAAACGAGGTACACCCGAGGATGGCTTGGGCTATGTAGTGAGGTCTCTTCCTCCCCCACAAATACCATGTGCATTTGCATACGCATTTATAACCACACATATCCAAAGCTACTGTCTAAGGGTTACTACCGCTGTGATGAAACACCATGACCAAAGGCGACTTGGAGGCGGGGAGAGTCTATTTGACTTACAGATCCTGAGTCACAGTTCCCTGTGAGAAGCCAAGCCATGGAGATCTAATGGGGGCAGGAACCTAGAGACAGGAGCTAATGTAGAAGTCAGAAAGGAGTGTTGCTTGCTGGCTTGCTTGTCTTGGTTTGCTCAGCCTGCTTTCTTATACACCCCAGCACCACAAATCCTGGGGCGTCCTACATTAATTTAAAAAATTACCTGCAGTCTTGCATACAGTTAAATCTTATGGAAACATTTTGTTATTTGAAGTTCTTGCTTCTCAAGATGACTCTAGCTTGTGCCAAGTTGACATAAAAGGTAGGCTGACAGCCAACAACATCTATTTCTATATTTTTGTCAAACTGTACCACCCATATTTCTTGAAGGCATTTACACACTTGTAAGTATAAATGTACGGATTAGCATATTTTTAAATTTTCACTCAGTCACCCATACTTATATAAGTACACTACAAAATTACCTTTCACATTTACATGTTTTTAAATAAGTTAGTATTTTTAAAATCCATTAAAGCTATTAACCTGACTTTTTCTGCATCTCAAAAGAGAGTTCAATAAAGTGAGTTTGAGTTGAATTATAGTCTTAGATTCTACAAAGTTTGAGTGTGTGTGTGTGTGTGAGAGAGAGAGAGAGGTGTGTGTGTGTGTGTGTGTGTGTGTGAGAGAGAGAGAGAGAGAGAGAGAGAGAGAGAGAGAGATGCTTGTTCATATTGCAGCTGGAGGAAACCATCAAGTGACTTGCTATACCATGCCCTGCCATATTTGCTTCAGAGATGGTTTCTCACTGAATCCAGAATTCACCATTTTTCACCTAGGCTGGCTACCCAGTCATCTCAAGTGATCTTCATGTCCGAACTCTTCATCGCAGGGGTTAGAGCTGTGTAGGCTGCATTTTTTGTGGTTCTGGACATCAGACCCCAGGTCCTCATGCTTGTACAGAAGGAACTCTTATCCGCTGCTGTGTAGAGGCTTCCTCCAAGATTTAAACCTTTCACTCTTGGGGGAAGCTTATTAAGATGGGGTGTGTAAAAGGAGGGGAAGTAACAGGATGATCTCAAAGGAGATGAAACTTTCCATCCTGCAGGGAAGCTCCTCAAGCTCAGGAAACAAACAACATGTCGGCTTCAGGAAGTCACTGAAGTTGAACAGATCCATTAGATCCCCTCCTCCCCCATAGTGTATAGACAGTACATAACATTGAGAGACATTTTCTGACTAGTCAACCTGCCCAGAAGAGGCAGAGACAAGTCAAGCATTCTGGGAGAGAATCAGACCAACTGAGGTCCACCTGGAAAGGACGCTCTCAACCTGCTGAGTTTTCTACAGACTGTGCAGTGGGCTCCAGGTTCCCAGCTTTGTGAGCTGTCGCCCATACTGGGGTAGGCTTTGGTGACGTCACTGTTCTGGGTCATTTCTGTCCCTTTAAGCACCTGCTTAGCCGTATTACTACAAGTTACCTTAATAAAACCCATTGATTCATGAAGTTGGACTTTGGTGGTATCCTGAAATCATCTGTCATCCTTTCTCTAGCTGAGGCAAGTAGACATTATTCATATCTCCCCAGTAATATTATCATACAACATCAGCTGGGTCATCTCCTCACCCCTGTACACACACTACAAAGTAGACTTTCAGTTGATAGATGTATATTTCTATTGTTGACTGTATGGTGTGTCAACAGTAAGCATATGAACACGTTGTTTGGAAGGTAGGGTTGGAATACTACTTGAAAACTATTTAGGTTTTATACAACCATTGGTAGCGCTGTGTGACTTAGTTCATACTTTTTATCACTGTGTTTCTCAAGTAACCTTGAGAAAGTCAGCTAGAGCAAACCCATACCAAATGTTCAGCATTTGTATTCTACATGGTGTTCCACATCCTTTTCAGAGGGGAAAACATTTCAGACCACACATTAGCTGACCTTTCTCATAGTAAAGATGGACAGCATCTCACTGTCCACTGAGGAGGCCACTGTCTGTCCACCTAGGAAGCCAGTAGGCCAGTGTCTACTGAGGAGGCCACCGTCTGTCCACTGAGGAGTCCATTGCCCTCCTCTTTCCCAGCAGGACTGAAAGAAACTGGCAAGATGAGAGACTTCAAGAATTTTGGGGGAATAAAGATAATAATCCTATAGAATCAAGCACATCATTTATTGGGAAATGAAAATCTATATCTCCCTCTAGACATGCATCTCTCAAAATATATATTTCCATCTGGACTTTAAACAAGGTGGTATTGCAAAACACCACCTCTCTCATAAAAGGAGGCCATTCTCATGACAGAACCTTTGTTCTGAAATAGGAAATATGATTTCTCTAGTGATGACATGACTCTTATGAAATAAACTTGATGTAATGCATAGGATCCCTTATAATATATGAGACCTTCAGGTTCCCAAAAGCCAAACAATATGCAGAATGTAGAGGTCAAGGTTATGTAGAACATGCAAAAATATAAATGATCAAGACATAGATGTGCACAAAAAAGAAGTGTCTATCTAGGTTTGTGATATAAAAGAATAAAGCTTAGAAACAGATGTCTATTAAAAAATTAACTTGTATCCAAAGATTACAGTCCATAATTCCTTTTGTATAAAGTACAGAAAGAGAAGGAATTCAAAATTATTTAATATGCGGTAAAAGGAAATATAAAGGGAAAATACAACTAGTAAATAGTCTCTAATATATTCAATAATAATTCTTTAAAATGCAGAGAGGAGAGGGTCCTGCAAACAAAAATACATCAAGAAGAGACACACTAGAAACCCAAATAGGGAAAACACATGTTCTAATTCCCTTTTTGTTGCCGTGACAAAACACCCTGACAAGTTGTCCAAGAGACTCTCAAAATGGTAGCTGTTATCCTTGGTTGCTCACCAGAGGTGGGTGGTAAGTACTGTCCAGATGCTAATGCAGCTGTTCCTGGCCATGGGAGCCACACTTGGCTCCTAGCACTTGGGAGGGTATGGCAGGAGGACCATGTACTTGAGGTCAATCTCAGCTACACATGGAACTCAAGGCCAGCCTGGGCTACAAGACCCTGCCTCAAAGAAAACAAACAAACATGCTTAGTCTCCAGTCATCAGTATGGACCTATGGGTAATAAAAGTAAAATAAATAAAATTTATGAAAAATTATATGTTCAAGAATTGATGATCTAGGAGAAATGGCCTAATTCCCTAAAAGAAAAAAAAATCCATGAAAATGTACATGAACAGAAACACATACTATGAATTCTTCTATAATAAGTAACAAAATTAAATGAATGTTTACTTTCAAAATAGAGAGCACGAAGCCCAGATTTATTCTTTCATGAATCAGACCAATGTTTAAAAGTTGCATCAATTTATCTATAGTCTATAACAACAGAAAGGAAAGGGATCCTTATAAATCCATTCTACCAGGCTAGCATGACCTTAGTTCCAGGTCAGATACCATGTAACACAAAAGAAAAGCCACAAGCCAATATTACTCCAAACACAGTGGAGAAATCCTCAAAAATACTTGTAAGAGCCGGGCGGTGGTGGCGCACGCCTTTAATCCCAGCACTCGGGAGGCAGAGGCAGGCGAATCCCTGTGAGTTTGAGGCCATCCTGGTCTACAAGAGCTAGTTCCAGGACAGGCACCAAAAACTACAGAGAAACCCTGTCTCGAAAAATCAAAAAAAAAAAATACTTGTAAAATTAAATTCAACAGATCATAATCCAATAGCATTTATTGATGGTCTGTAGACAGGATTTAAGTTAAAAACGAATTCTCATAATCCATTATATCCATGAACTGAGTAAGAAAAAGGTCATACGATTGTATGAACAAAGAGGGATAATTTGATAAATTCAGTGCCATATACAATGGGCACTCTTAGAAAACAGGGACTAAACAGTAAACTGCTTATAATGAAAAAAATTCGATGAAAATGAAGCAAACAAAATGCACCCTGTGATGGGTGGGAAACCAGCAAAGCATCATGGAGTACATCTCTTCCATTTCTTTACAGCATGCACTAGAAATGTAGAAAATGCAGCAAGATAGGTAAAGGAGATAAAACACACAAAACTGAGAAAGAGATAATACTGTCCCTCAAGGCAGTCTAATGCAAACATCAGATATATGCTCAATTGTTTACAGTAGTGGGCAGTAGGAATTTGGACTTAAAAATATAATGCCATTTACACAGGTAAAATGGCACACTTATTTATGAACATAATTATTTATAAATATGATTTATGTTAAGAAAACAGCAAAAATTGGATTAAACTAAATTTTTAGTAGGACAGTGATGATGCATGCCTTTAATACTAGAACTTGGGAGGCAGAGGCAGGTGAACCTCTATGAGTTTGAGGCCAGCCTGGTCTCCAGAGTTCCAGAACAGCCAGGGTTACACAGAGAAACCCTGTCTCAAAAATAATTTTTTTATTGTATAGAACTGGAGAGATAGTCCATGTTAATGGAATGCTTTTAGGATGTTGGATCTTACCAAAATGATCCATAGATTCACCATGACCCTTACCCAAGTCCCAGGCAAGTTATCTCATGGATACAGACTACAGAGATCTGTCAAGCTAAATCATGTATTTAAAGAAAAAAGGTCTAGAACAAACAATGCTTTTCACTGTTGACAAAGAGCTAAGATGAATAACTTCGTTTTATGATCGTTTTATGAACCATAAACTATACAAATCATGAAAATGTGGCACTGGTAAAAAAAAATAGAACAGTAAAGGAAGTTCAATTTAGATCCATAAGTTAGTTTTCCTTTAAAAATATTTTGCTGGATCCCACTCTCACCACTGGACAGGACTGTGAGACAGAAAATTAACAGAGAATAAGGAAACTAAGAGATGTTATGAATCAAATGGACTTAACAGACATCCATAGAACATTCCATCCAAACATCTTCTCAGCACTTCGTGGAACCTTCTCAAAAACTGACCACCTACTAGGTAACAAAGCAAACCTCAACAGATACAAAAAAAATGCAATAATTTCATGTATCTTATCGGATCACCATGACTTAAAATTAGAATTCAACAGCAACACTAAATTCAGAAAGCCCACAAACACGTGGAATTTAAACAATGCTTACCTGAATCACGAATGGGTCAAGGAAGAAATACAGGAAGAAATTAATGACCTCCTAAAATTCAGTGAAAGTGACCTCACAACATACTCGAATTTATGGGTCACAATTAAAGCAGTGTTAAGAGGAAAGTTTATAGCACTAAATGCCTACATAAAGAAGCTGGATAAATACCACACTAGTGAGTTAACAGAACGCCTGAAAACTCTAGAACGAAAAGAAGCAAGCTCAACCAGGAGGAGTAAGCAGCAGGAAATAATCAAATTGAGAGCTGAGAGCAATAAAATAGAAACAAAGAAAGCAATACAAAAAATCTAAGAGGCAGAGTTTGTTCTTCGGTAAACCAATAAAATAGGCAAATCTTTATCAAAGCTAACCAAAAGGAAGAGAAAGAATATCCAAATTAACAAAATCAGTAAAGAAAAGGGGACATGATAACAGACGTAGATGAAATCCAGAGAATCATTGGGCCATATTTCAAAAACCTGTACTCCACAAAATTGGAAAACTTAAAGGAAATGAAATTTTTTCTGAATAAATATTACTTACCAAAATTAAATCAAGACTAGATAAGCAAATTAAATAGACTTATAACTGCTAAAGAAGTAGAAATAGTCATCAAAAGTCTCCCAACCAAAATGCAGCCCAGGACCAGGTGGTTTCAGTGCAGAATTCTACAAGATTTTCAGAGAAGAACTAAGATCAATACTCCTCAAATTGTTCTACACAATAGAAACAGAGGAACATTCCAAACTCTTTTTATAAGACTATAATTACCCTGATACCCAAACAACACAAATACATTACTAAGAAAGAGAATTACAGACAAATCTCACTCATGAACATTGTTGCAAAAATACTCAATAAAATATTAGCAAACCAAATCCAAGAACACGTAAGAAAAATCATCCCCCATGATCAAGTAGGCTTCACCCCAGAGATGCAGGGATGGTTCAACATTTGAAAATCAGTCAATGTAATCCACCCTATAAACATTCTGGGGAAAAAACACATTAGATGCTGAAAAGGCCTTCAACAAAAGACAACATCCCTTCATGATAAATGTCTTGGAGAGAGCAGAAATACAAGGAACATACCTAAACATAATAAAGGCAATATACAGCAAGCTAACAGCCAACCTCAAACTAAATAGAGAGAAACTCGAAGCGATCCCACTGAAATCAGGAACAAAACAATGTTGTCCACTCTCTCCATATCTATTGGATATAGTTCTTGAAGTTCTAGATAGAGCAGTAAGACAACAAAAGGAGATCAAGGGAATACAAAACAGAAAAGAAGAGGTCAAATTCTCACTATTTGCTGATAATATGATAGTTTACATAAGTGACCCCCAAAATTCTACCAAGGAACTTCTAGAACTCATAAACACCTTCATTAATGTAGCAAGATACAAGATTAACTCAAAAAATCAGTAGCCTTTCTTTACACAGATGATAAATGGGCTGAGAAAGAAATCAGAGAAACATCACTCTCACAATAGCCACAAGTAGCATAAAATATCTTGAGGCAACTCTAACCAAACAAGTGAAACACCTATATGACAAGAACTTTAAATCTTTGAAGAACGAAACTGAAGAAGACACCAGAAAATGGAAAGATGTCCCATGGTCTTGGGTAGGTAGAATTAACATAGTAAAAATGTCAATCTTACAATGTAATGCCCATCAAAATCACAGCAAAATTCTTCACAGACCTAGAAAGAATAATACTCAACTTCATATGGAAAAAATAAACCCAGGATAGCGCAAACAATCCTGTACAATAAAAGAACTTCTGGAGGCATCACAATCTCTGACTTCAAACTCTACTTCAGAGCTACAGTATTGAAATCAGTCTGGTACTGGCATAAAAACAGACAGAAGGACCAATGAAACTGAATTGAAAACACAGATATTAATCCACACATCTTCGAACACCTGATTTTTGACAAAGAAGCAAAAAATATCAAATGAAAAAAAGAAAGCATATTTAACAAATGGTTGTGGCATAACTGGATATCAACACATAGAAGAATGAAAATAAATTTATATCCATCGCCTTGCACAAAACTCAAGTCCAAATGGATCAAAGACCTAAACATAAAACCAATCACACTGAATCTCATAGAAGAGAAAGTGGGAAGTGCACTTGAACTTGAAAACTTAGGCAAAATTCCAGGCACACACTCAAGATGGCTGTGCTGGCTGTTTTTCAGTCAACTTAACACAAACTAGAGTCATTTGGAAAGAGAGACTCTCAACTGAGAAACAAGCGTTTGTAAAATAGGCCTATGGGCAAGTCTGCAGTGCATTTTTTTTTATTGATGATTGATGTGGAGAGCCCAGCTCACTGGAGACAACACCACTCCCAGCACAGCCATGTGGAGCAAGCCACGTGGAACAAGCCAGTGAGCAGCATTCCTCCATGGCTCTGCTGGAACTCCTGTCTCCAGGTTCCTGCCTGAGTTCCTGCCCGGATTCCTTTCATTAGTGGAGTATAACCTGAGAGTTGTAAGGTGAAATAAATGCTTTCCTCTCCTAAAAAAAAAAAAATTGTTGGAAGGACAATATATACAGGGAAATATAAATAAACATGAATGGAAAAGTTTTATTGAATGAAAAAACCAAACAATCAAGGTAAAGTAATTAAATAAACAGCAATCTTTAAAAAGTGTGCCCAGTAAAGCAGAGGATCAAAAAATTACACACACACACACACACACACACACACACACACACACACATACACACACACATATACACACACATATACACACACATACACACACACTTATTTTCTGCTTTATTGAAAGTATTAAGAATGAAACATTAAAAGAAAGATCTAACAGAGGAAAGCCACAAAACTGGCCAAAAATCAGAATTACAGAGGGCAAGTGCAAAGCAAGAGGCTTGTCCGTGTTAACCTTTCCACACATCCCAAAGCTGATAAATTCAGATATTATAAAACTGAATGCAAATAAATTTGAACAAATCCAAGTCTATTCTTTCTATTTTTGCTTTTTGTTGTTCTTGCTATTTTATTTATTTTATTTTATTATACTACATGCCAATTTCCTTTTAGGAAGTCCCCACACCTGTAAATGTTAAAAAATAAAAAGCAGTATCTAGGCAGGAGAAATTTTACATTACTAGATAAATGATTGCGAGAAATTAAAAACGCTCCTGAAATGAGCAAAACATGCAATTCACTCGATGGCATTGAGAAGGCTCATTTGATTTTCTCGTTTTAACCTACTGGTCATAGTCACGTCATTTAAGAGTAGTGCAGCCATCGATCAGTTCTCCAAAGCAGGAGATCGGAACTGCCCACAGTCGCTGCACGGGCACAGGAATCACCTGCACGGGCACAGTCCCCTGCACAGTCACAGTCACTTACCCCATTCCCTTTGCACTTCTTAGTAGCATTACAGTCATTTCCTGTTAGATCAACTTCTTGGCAGGTTCTGTTTATGCAATACTAAAATTAAACACACGATATTTCACGGTCACAAATGCCGCATAAAAATAAACCACTATTTGTTACATAAAAGACACACATTTGTTGCATAAAAGATGTCCAAGACCTGCTTATCCATTTTGCTTTGATTCCAATACCAATATTCTAGCTTTCTAAAGTAAGCCCCTCGACAGCAATGGTATCAAAGCAGGAGGAGCCTCTCTACTTGGAGCTAGACAGGGACTATGTGTGGTTTGAATTTTGATCCCTACAGTTTGAACTGACTGAAATCCACATTGCATTTCCTACACTGTCAATATTTGATGGATTTTTGGATAGAAGTCAAAATTGCCCCCTTAAGGCTGGAGAATAATTTTTCTTATGTCCCAAATACAATTCATAAGTTGTTTTGACTCTTTGTGGTGGCATATATCAGAATTATAAGGTAAGATAAATAGTTTAACTTTGTCTTTTGGCAATGACCAAGCCTTGTCCTGTCAAAGTAGCAACCAAATGGTAATCGGTAATCTGGTATGTAATTATTTTGGTCTCATTTAACTTTTTCTATTTTGTTGGGCTTGGTAGCTTATTTTTTTCAGTTGTTGACACAAGATATAATTAAGTAATTCACAAAATGAATACATCAAATGTGGGTGAAAATGAGATCTTTGTATTTATTCAACATTAACATGTAACCAATAAATAAATCATAAATTGTATATACTAGCCTTTCTTTGATCCTTACAGTCAATATGCAATGCAATATTAAGTATTCTAGCTGGAGCAATTTAGATATTAAAAAGAAAGAAAAGATATTCAAATCACAAAGGAAGTAATAAAATTATTTGTTTGTAGATGACATGATCATGTATGTAAGGGATCTCCAATGTACACAGACAGACTATACAGAGATGCTCGTGCCAACACATGCAGACTGACTGACTGTGGACAGATGGCTATGTAATCACACACAGGCCTGTAGGCTGCACAAAGATATCTATTTAAATACACACAGGCTGACAGATTACACACAGATGGCTGTGCAAACACAGGCTGACACACTACACATAGATGTCCAAGAAAACGTACACATAGACTGACTGACAGACTGTAAAGATCAGGCAAACACACCCAAGCTGACAGACTGTCCCCAGATTCATTTACTAGCACACATAGTCTCATACTGCACACTGATGCCTTTGCAAACACACGCCGACTTACAGACTGCACATGGAGGTAGTACAGGCACACACAGATTGGTAGACTACTCACAGATGCCCATGAAAATGCACACTGACTGATTATACACAGATGAATGTGCAAACACACACAGGCTGACAAGCTCCACACAGATGCGTGTATATAAACACACTAACACACTGCACACAGACCAGCATGGAAACACATAGGAAGTCACAGAAGGCACACAGATGGACAGGCAAACATATACAGAAGGTCAAACCACACACAGATGCCTGTGCAAACACACAGACTTACAGATTACATAGAGATACACAAGCAAACACACACACACACACACAAACTTGATACATCAACGAATTCAGCAGTTTCAGGATAACATATCAAGTTGAAAAAAATCAGGTACAGTTCTACCAATTAACAATGGACAATCCAATAAAGATATTTACAGTTTTTGTCTTTATAATAATAACACAATATTTACTTAGAAATAAATTTAACCTAGCAGAAAGAAAGAGTCAGGTTTGGGCCATAGACTTGAAAAGCTACCCCCTCACCCGCCAGGCAGAGTCACCTGTGACCCTGACCAGGAGCACCACGCTACCTTCTACAAACTAACAACTGTCACTTTTAGGGATTTTTTTTGGTCAAATTCTTCATTCACAAGGCAGTCATGATTGGCACTCTTGGAAGTTCATTTGTTCCCACTTAGATGATGAGAAAATTTGGCATGCTGTCCTGGCAGCCGTGGAGTCAGGGCACACTATCTGGGGTGGGCTAGGTCCCAGTGCTTGGAGCTTCTACCTCATAGTCCTGTGTGGAATTCTGATCAAGGTATCTGGGGCTACTACCCTATTAGAAGGTCTGAGCTGAAAGATACACCTTCATTAATGACTTGCTCATCTATCTGGGGGTGGAGTTCTATTCCTCCCTGGTTATCTGAGTAGGGGTTATGTGTGTCTCAGGCTCAGAACTGTGGACTTCTCTATGGCTGCAGCTCACAACACTAAAATATTCTAAGACAAGAGAAACAGGCCAGGCCCACCATGCACCACACTTCCCTAACCTATTATTCCAAATCTCTTTATTCTATTTGTGCTAAGTGAGCTCTTAGATGTAGCTCATGAGGAAGTTGGCCACACAAGGCAGCCAAACCAAGGAACTGGGTTACTCAGCATTAATAAGCATCTCTGGGGTTCAGGAACCACTGATTTTGGGGTTAAGAGTTGATTCTATAATCTCCAAGTAAAGGTTAAAGGCCCCACTTCTGCGCTAACGTGTTTATAACCGCTGCTTTTAACCTCAAAGGACTATTCGTGTGTTTTCAAAGCTGGGTCCCCTCATCCCCTAGACTGATAAACTCTGAACTTTAGTTCTGCCTTAGTAGAATGACTACACGAGCGTAACTTGTGTAAGTGTGTACATGTGCAAGCACAGCTATGCATGCACTTACGAACCCATCTCTGTGCGATAGCCATTAGCCGTGCTTTCCTAGGTCAGCTTTGGCTCTTCCAAACTGTTCACACTTACTCTCTGATCAGATACATAAGCACATGATTTATTTAATATGGATATGGCTTGCAGCGAAGACAGGTGAAATGAAAACTCGGAATTTACTATTGTAAATTATTAGGTCTAAAAATAATAGCACTTGGTGGTTACTAGACTCATGTCAAAAAACATGTACTTTTTAGCTGGGCAGCGGTGGCGCACACCTTTAATCTCAGTCAGTTTGGTCTACAGAGTGAGTTGCAGGACAGCCAGGAGTACACAGAGAAACCCTGTCTCAAAACAAACAAGCAAACAAATGAAGCCCAAGCCCACATTTTGTCCACATAGGGACTGAGAGGAAGCAATGCAACCTGCTAACTAAGGCTTATTTCACACCATATTGGAAAGGAACACAAAGTATCAGGGTCAGACTGTGATCACTGTCCTGGAACACGGCTGTGGTAATTACACAGCTAAACGTAATCCTCAGCCTCTTACCATCTGGGGTCCACACACAGTGCCATCAGCCACAAACGCATAATCTCTGCCGTCTGACCTCATAGATAACCCCGGAGGCATGGACAGGCACACGCTGTCATGGACATACGAATATACCACGGACCGGGCTGTGCTTTTGTGATTCTGGTGTGGCTGAAAGCAAGCTAATTTCCCACAGAGAACATCCCTGGAAACGGAAAGGACAAAATTCTTCATCATTTTACTTTTCAGTGATCCCAGCTTCCTTAAGTATTGCGTGGATAGTGGCCTGAATGCTTGGCTCGTGTCAGAAAACCGGAAAAATGACACAGTAGCAACATTGTTTTATGATGCTCTAAGATTTTTTAAAACATAAATGGCTAAATGCAAGCAGATTAATTAGCACTGTGGCAGAACTGAGATGTTTATGCTTAGTTTACGCATCTACGGGTAACTTTATTTTCTAGTGTAGGTCTTGATGGACACTTAGGCTGACTTTAATACAGTTCGGCCAGGCTGGACCTGTCACCTAAGTTTCCCAGTGGTGGCAAACCATGTAGCCTTTCAGTATCTTTTGATTATGTGTCATTATATATATATATATATATATATATATATATATATATATATATGTATATTATTATACCTCATAGAATTTCACAATACACTTGTCACTCAAAACTGTGTATACATATGTGCTCATATGTGCATGTGTGCGTGTACATGGAGGCCAGAAGACAGCAAGGGGGGTTAGTGCCAGTCACCTTTACTTTTTGTTTTTCGCTGGCCTCGGGCTCACTGAGTAAGTTAGGCTGGGTGACTAGTAAGTTCCTGAGAGCTGCCTCTCTCTCTCTCTTTCTCTCTCTCTCTCTCTCTCTCTCTCTCTCTCTCTCTCTCTCTCTCTCCCCAGCACTGAGATCACAGTGTCAACCCTCACATCTTAGCCCTCTTCCCCTGAGTTCTGTGGTTCCAACTCAAGCAAGACTTTACAGGAGCTAGAATTTTCCCAGCCCCTTGTGACTTTTTAAAAAAATACCCAAGTAAAATTCTGGCAGCACTTGCTACAATGCCATCACCCCCAGTATGGATCCAGGAGCTGTTTTATGCTATAAAAAACCATGTTACAATAGTCCAGTCTAGCCATTGAGACAAGCTCTGTAGCTTTACATATCAGTCATTTGGAAATAACAAACAAGGTGAGAATTTCTTTTCTCTCAACAATTGTATGTTAAAATAAATCAAAATACCCACTTTAGGACACCTAAATGATAGACAGACTTAAAACATGAGTCAATTTTAATACTTAATTGAGAACAGAACTCCCTATTTTCTGAAAACTGGTCAATTCCTCTTATTAAATTTCATTCTATTCCTCATTCAGTCAAATTCTTAGTGCGGTAAAGGGGAAAAACTGGAGAAAAGTGAAAAGTCTGAATTTCTATGAGATTACACACATGTACACATGTGTGCAGGGTGTTCATGGCACATACACACATGAGTGTGTCCATGCATACATGAGAATATTTTCCTATCAAACAATTTGATAGTTGTTTTTATTTAGTATTTGACCCTTGTCAAGCAACGGTTCTCAGAAGAAAAAAACAACCACACTTTACATACATACTTTTGTCCACATGGGGATGAATTTTTAAAATCACAGCTTGCCAGTTTTTCACGTGGTGAATTAACTTTTTCAAAACAGGCATAGGAGGCGCCTTGAGAACCTAAAATGGGAAACACGACCTTTAGGTTATTATCCTTAATGCAGATTACGTGCTCTTTAATAACAGACTAACAAAACTACCCTTTCAAAATAGGCATGTATTTTTCCAGCTTTTCTTGCTTTTCATGGGCAACCTGCCAATGTCATAACACAATACAAAAGAGATCATATCCAATGCTAGTAGTTACATTGATGTATTTATGTATTTCTTTGTTGTTTTGAAACAAGGTGTACTATACATCTCAGACTGGTCTTGGCCTTGAAAAATCTCCTGCCTCATCCTCCTGAGGGTTAGCAGTAGATGTATGTCCATCTTTGCTCCCTTAAATTTTTTCTAAATATATATATATATATATATATATATATATTGTGTGTGTGCCTGAATATGTGCCTATACAAGTGCATTGTGCACATATACGCCTGTGTGTATACATGTCTCTATATGTAGAGATCAGAGTGAAAGTTTATGTATTTCTCCTCATGTGTATACATGCCTATAATATTCAGTCCTCTAAATTGGTGACAAGATAAATAACCAAAGCTAATAAATAGTCAGAACTGAATATAGTGTTTGGATTGCACAGCATAGCCTAAGATGCTTCCATTGGTTCTTCCAGACCTGCCTTCTCTCCCTGTGGGAGAGCATCCATCATCTCTGCATAGACATAATCAAGAGAAAGTAAGTAAAGAAAACAATTAAAAGGGAGACAAACACTTTAATAAGGAACATTTAAACACAATAATGAGATTTTCAGAATTAGTTACAGAGTTTTTCCACAGTAAGTTCCTAGGACATTCCATCAACCAGAGGATTTTAATAACTAGGAGAAGATACCAAGACCAACTCAATGGGGAGAGACTGCATCTTTATATTTCTTACATTATTTAATGTTTAGATATGACTAATTGCCTAAGGCATTTCAAAATGTGTTTGTTATGTTTATAAATGATAAAATGATAGTGATCTTGAGTTTAGTGAACCTACAGATGAGGATGACTGCATGTTCTTATTGTGACCACGTTTTGATATGATTGTCTGCCAAACCAGACCTCTAACCTTACTTGAACCTACTCTTTATATTTCCAAAAATTCACGCTTCTCTCACTACTTTTGTAAAAAGAATTATTATTGCTATCATTATTATTATTATTATTAGATATAATAATTCTTCCAAAACAGAAACTTCAGATTGAACCTGAAACTCCAAGCTTGGACCAGGATGCACATTCTTCATGCCAGCCCCGTGTCCACAAGAGTCATATGCAACCTTCAATCCCTCCCTAATCTGCAGTATTCATATAAAGTCCACAGACTCAGACCTCAACACAAAAATATGAAGAAGAAAGATATGAAAGACCAAGGCTGGATCCCCTGCTCTAGCCCCCTAGTCCTATAGGAGAATTCAAGGGGCATTACCTAGAACCCTGAACACAGAATTCAAGAATTACCTAGAACCCCGAACACAGAATTCAAAGAAAGAACCATGAGCACCACCAATGAATTGAAGAAGCTGAAGTAAGGCACAAAGGACGGCTCAGTGACCTTAAGGAGGTTAGATGTGGGAGTTATCCTGAAGAAAGTACAAGCATAAGGCTGATGGGAAAACTGAAAACAGCCAGGGGTTTGAAAATATGCACACACAAGTAACATTATACAGACTGATTAGGTTGTATTTATGTATTTAGGAATATATATATACACATACACAATACATACATATATGTGTGTGACAATAATTAATGAAAAAAGAGATCATTAATTTGAAGGGGAACAAGGAGAGACATATGGAAGGGTTTGGAGGGGGAAGGGGAAATGGTGTAATTATTTTATAATGTCAAAAACTAAAGAAATATAAAAGAATATAAGAATTTGAAAAAACAGAAAATGAACACGCAGAAAATGTGGCCACCATGAAAAGACCGAATATTCATGTTATAGGAATAGATGAGGCACAAAAATCTCAATTCAATGGCATAGATTAGATCTTCAACAGGATCATAGAGAAAAATATCCGTAAATTAAGATACACCCATACAGACACAAGAATCACAGGGAATACAAACCACAGAAGACCAAAAAAGACACACAAGCCAATAAATGTAATAAACCACATAAATGGACTGAAAGATAAAAATAGGATTATCCTCTCAATAGGTTCAGAAATTCTCTGACAACATCAAACATGCCTTCTTGATAAAAGTTCTAGAGAATGTACAACTGAGGGAACATTCCCCAACATAGTAAAAAGCTACAGGTGAGAAACTGACAGCCAACACTGTCCTAAATGGAGGACGACTTGACGCACACACACACACACACACACACACACACACACACACACACACCGAGATCAGGAATGTGGCAGGGCTGTTCACTCGCCTGCTCCTTTTCTGCACTGTGCTGGAAGCTCTGCTGGAACAATAAGGCGGGGGGGGGGAGTTGAAGGGATACAAATAGAAAAAGAATAAGTCCAACTATCCCTATATGCAGATGGCATGATATTGTACATTAGAGAGCCAAAAGAATTCTACCAGAAAACTTCTAGACATGATCACCAATTTCAGCAATGTGGCAGGATACAAAATTAACTTGCACAAATCAGTAACTTTTCTGTACACCTCCAACAAATGCAGAGAAAGAGATCATGACAGATTCCCATTATAAAAGATTCAAAGGAAGGAAAATATCTGGGAATAAACCTAACCAAGGAGGTGAAAGACTTCTACAACAAACACTGTAAATCTCCAAACGCGAGAGGGGGGGGGGGGAGAGAGAGAGAGAGAGAGAGAAGGAGAGACAGAGATAGAGACTAGAAAATGGAAAGACATCCCATGCTCTTGGATTGATAAAATTAATATTGTGGGATGACCACTTTACCAAAAGCAACTCATATATTCAACGCCATCCCAATCAATTTTCACATAATAGAAAAACTATCCCAAATTCTTATGGCACCACAGGAGACCCCAGATGGCAAACAATCCTGGGTATAAAGAACTGAGGGATTACCATTACAGAGTCAAGATATCCTACAGAGCCATAGTAATAAAAACAGTATGGTACTGGGGCAAACACAGACGTGTAGATCAATGAAACAAAGTCATAGACTTAAATGTGAGCACACATAACTACTGCCATCTAATTCTCAACAATGGTGACAAGAGCAGACCCTTGAGAAAAGACAGCACCTTCAACAAATGGTGCTGGGGAAACCGGATGTCCACATACAGATGAATGAAGCTGGAGCTGGACCTTTACAAAACCAACTCCAGGTGGATTGAAGGTCTACATGAGGAACCCAAACCCTGAAAATGCTGGAAGAAAATATAGGCAATCTCTACAGGATGGAGGGTTTAGGGAAGGGCTTTCTGAACAGGGCCCCATTTGTTAAGAAATTGAGGCCAACAATTTACAAGTGGGACCTCATAAAATAGAAAGCTTCTTATAGATAAAGAGGCAAACCTGTGGAAAGGGAGATAGCCTCTGCCAACTACACAGCCGACAGAGGCCTCATACCCAGAATCAAAAACCCCAAAACAAACTTGCTCCAACCAAACGTCCTAAGTAAAAAGTGAGATACAGATCTGAACATAAAGTTCTTAAAGGAAGAAAAAAAATGGGTAAGGGATATCTTTGAAAGTGTTCAGCATGCTTAGTTAGGAAAATAAAAGTTAAAAGGGCTTTGAGATGTCTTGTACCCCAAGCCAGAATGGCCAAGATATCATTCAAATGAGTGTACACACACACATTATATATATGAAGGCATGCCACCTGCAGTGATAACACTCCCATTAAGAGACATAAGACTACATAGCAAACAATCTGGGGTCAGGCATGGGAAACTGCCTTTAGAATTGTTGAGCAGAGGAGTCAAGGAGTCTTCGAAAATCATATCCACCATTGTCATTGCTTTAGTTGCCTCCCAGAGGTTGAAGGTGGGTCCCTATTGCTTCAAACACTACAGTACTTCAGACACAATCAAGCTGGATCTGACCTGAAGCAGCCCTCCCTGGGGATTAGCTCTCAAGCTGCCTGAACCACAATGGCCAGAACAGCAAGAGTCCTAAAAGGTGTAATAGTGGCATTTCTATCGTGAGGGTAACCGACAGCTGTGTAATTGGACTTAAGGCACTCTCAGCACAGGGGAGTCCATGCCTGGTACTGTAAACTTGCCAACTCTCTGGCTGGTGGGGCCATGGAACCTAGAGGAAAGTCCACTACTGCTGCTATCTTAAGCGAGTATAATTTATAATTGCATTTTGAAGGCCTCTCCTTAGATCACAAGTAAGTGTAACTCTCACCTCTCATGCAAGGAGCTTCTTTTTGCATCGGAGAGCCCATCACAGAAATCCACAACTGGTCAAAACACAGAGAACAGCTGGCCATGGAGTGCCCAACCCCAATGAACACATCTCCAATATAACCACTACACCCAAGGCTCAGTGGACATTTCAGAGGAGAAACAAAGAGGCAGAGGATCGGGATAGATGCTGTTTGATAGTCTCCTATACACAAAGGGAGGCTGCATCAGTCAAAAGCTCAAAAACATTGTTGCCTAACCAGGGCCTGAACAATTACAGGAGTGGTTAGTACAGCAATGGAAAAGGCTCTCTCCCCAGATGAAGACCTACAGGCAACCAATGGCTGATGAAAGAGGCAAAACCAATTTTTCCTGTATCAAGCTGTCAGGTAATGTTATTCAATCCCAAGTAATCTGAAACACAAACACATAGGCTCAACACCAAATGGACTCAACTGACTATACTTATACTACATACGTGCATATGTTTGAAACAATAAAGAAGAGATCATGAACTTGAGAGACGGGGGAACACGTGAGGAGTTGGAGGAGCAAGGGAGTATGGTAAATATAGTGCTCATTACGAGATTATTTTAAAAATTACATTTAAAAAGGGTTTAAACAGAGTTACCTTATAACAAGGCAACTTAGCTCCAATTAGTCTTTATAAAATAATAAGTCCAGTGCCAGGAACAGGTTGCCTCTTAGTGAGGTCCTATAGCTCCCCAAACATTATAGATTATTGCCAATGCTCGTGGCTACTTTCCAGAACTGAACGGGAAGATCTTGTAGCTGAAGATGCTACCAAGCTGGTACGACCTCAAAGTTTCATCCTTACTGGCTAACTTTAATGGTGCTGCTACACAATATGCATGTTACCAGAACAAAAAAGTCATTACCCTACTTTTCCGCCTGAGATCTTGTACACTACAATTACAATGGCCTAGCAAAACGTGCATATTGGTACACTAGTGGTACAAATGTCCTGGGAGGGGGCTGGAGAGATGGCTCAGCGGTTAAGAGCATTGCCTGTTCTTCCAAAGGTCCTGAGTTCAATTTCCAGCAAACACATGGTAGCTTGCAACCATCTGTAATGAGGTGTGGAGCCCTTTTCTGGCCTGCAGGCATACACACAGATAGAATACTGTAAAAATAAATAGACAGACAGACAGACAGACAGACAGACAGACGGACAGAGAGAGAGAGAGAGAGAGAGAGAGAGAGAGAGAGAGAGAGAGATTTTTTTTAAATGTCCTAGGAGTAACCAACCACTTTCTGTTCGGATGTAAGGCCAATCCCATACACTGGAACACATAGCTGTAATTTGGAATAAGAACCTGCGGCTAGACAGGTCATATTGCCTGGGGAGAGTCTATTATTCTCACAATATTAACTAGACTCCTAATGACTTATGAATATACCCATACCTGCTCTGACTGGAGGATTTTTCTGAAGGCTCCCTCCCCACATCAGGCCACCTTTCCTGTTGACTGTGGCAGATTTTTCTTACTCTCTTCTTTTAAGCTCTGTTTTAATGAAGTTCCTCTCCACATTTTAATTGGAAACCAGTCTTTTCCTTTAAAGCCCAGTTGTGTTGTGTTTTCTCAGACAGGAAACTCCATCCATCCTAACTGTTCTCCCACCTCAAAGTCCAGTCTTAGCCCACACGTCCATGAGGTTCTCTGCTCATCCTGAAGTGTATTTCCTGTTATTTCCCAAATCCATTGATCTGGTGTCTAACACTGCGTTGTAAATCTGTTGTGTATTCAAATTACTTTAATCACTCGACACATAGATAATCATATTGGGGCACCCTAAAAACACCAGCAGGCAAGCGGGAGTCTTATCTGGAGTTCTCTAAAAATGTTATTTAAAAAATATGAATAAGGTCAAGACAGGAGGATGGTGAGTTCAAAGTCAGCCTGGACTATACAATGAGACTGTCTCAGACAAACAAAATCTGTCACAAATCAGAAGCAGGAGCTCTGGCCAGGTAGCCTGTGGCTGCTGTTGCATTGCCAGTTCCTTGGTCAGAACAGAACATGTTACATGTGGATGGCATTCACTGTCAGCTTTGCAAGGCTCACGTTTTCAATACTGGATTATGAATGTGGTAGATAATAGAAAATCAAGGCATCACTACCTGCTTATCTGCTATTCATATTTTAATATAATTTAGGAGAAATGGCCAACATTTTTTTTTCAAACCAAACCTACATGGCATTTTTTTCTTGGAAAATTTCAATCATGCTTTTAATTTTTTTTTCTTTAATTTCAGTTTAACCCTCCTTAAAACTGTGACCCAGGCTCTTCCTCACCTAGGCTCTCTCTATGGCGTGTAATATATACTCCACGGAGCCATCCAAGTGCAGCACAAATACAAAAGAAAGCAGTACCTTTTCCAAATAAGCTGACACACTGGTCATTCAGAGCTTGGCACTGTCCGTTGTAGCAGTACGCAGATCCCAGCCGGCACAAATGGCCGTTCACTGCGAAGGTGTCGGGGACACAGTGGCTAGAGGATCCGTTGCAATATTCTGTGAAGTCACACTCTGGGTCAACAGCCTTCCGACAGGGAGTGCCTGCTGGTGACAGCTAGGGACAGGAGGAAAAAAAGATCAGGAGCTGCGAATGACTCTATAATTATTGGTCAAAGGAGTCAGTTAAACATGTCTGGTTGTGGCTGAGGGACTGACGCCTCCCCAGGCTAAGAATTCTAGAAAGGGGAATCCAGGTAAAATGTCCACTGGGAAGCCCAGAGAAGGGCAACTGTCTTCGGGATAGACACAGATCCCCACGGACAGCAGGCTGGCAGCTGTCCACAGCCTTGTGAATTCCAACACGAGTCACATGTGGATTGAGAAGCATAGAACAATTGGTTCCACCTCTGATGTTGGCAAGACCCGGAAGCCAGTTCCAGCTTTGACTCTTACTAGCTTATTTGTGTTGGAGAGACAATGGATCTCTTTAATATTTGCAAATTCCTAATGAAGATCACATTCTCATTTAAGGAATGCACATCTCACCACCGCCGTTTATATTCCCAGAACAAAAGGGTCTCTCTGCATAGTTCGGATGCGTTTTTATGGCTGGTTGACCACATTTCTCATCTGTTGCCATCCATAACAAAATATTTATAGTGTTCAAATGTTCAACTACCCTATGTATTGAAAACACAGACACACAGACACACACACACACACTATAAGCATATGTAATTGAACTAATGTTTAGTGAAATAGAAAGATAATTAATAAATAAAGTAGTGTCTTTAAAGAAATGAAAGAGAAAAATCTCAAGTTGGAATTTCCTTTTTTTTTTTTAGAAAGTAATTTTATTAAATTATAAAAGTTTCCATTTCCGCCCCTCCTCCCAATACCCTCCCACTCCCCTCACTCCCTCTTCTCCTCCCTCTCCATCCCTAAGAGCAGACAGGGTTTCCTGCCCTGTGGGAAGTTCAAGTTCTTCCCCCCTCCCTCCAGGTCCAGGAAGGTGAGTGTCCAGACAGACTGGATCCCCAAAATCCAGTATATGCAGGGGAAACAAGTACCAGTGTCATTGTCAATGGCTTTTCAGAAAGACTCCGGGCCAGCCACATTCAGAGAATCCAGCCACATTCAGAGAATCTGGTTGGATCGCATCCTCGTTGGAGAAGATCTTCACAAACCCCTCATCAGACAAAGGTCTGATCTCCAAAATATACAAAGAACTTAAGAAACTAGACACTAAAACTCTAATTAACCCAATTAAAAAATTGGATACTGAACTGAACAGAGAATTCACAACAGATGAACTTTGAATGGCCAAAAGGCACTTAAGGTCATGCTCAACCTCCTTAGCGATCAGGGAAATGCAAATCAAAACCACTTTGAGATACCATCTTACACCTGTCAGAATAGCTAAAGTCAAAAACACCAACAATAGCCTATGCTGGAGAGGATGTGGAGTGAGGGGAACACTCATCCATTGTTGGTGGGAATGCAAACTTGTGCAGGGACTGTGGAAATCAGTGTGGCGGTTTCTCAGGAAACTGGGAGTCAACCTCCCTCAGGACCCAGCAATTCCACTCTTGGGAATATACCCAAAAGATGCCCTATCATACCACAAAAGCATTTGTTCAACTATGTTCATAGCTGCACTATTTGTAATAACCAGAACCTGGAAACAACCTAGGTGCCCCTCAATAGAAGAATGGTTAAAAAAGGTGTGAAGTTGGAATTTCCTACCCTGGAGATACACGTCAGGAGGAATGAGAGGGCCAGCAGGACACTTCAGCGGACAAACGTGTCTGCTGCCAAACAGGGTGATGACAGGGGCCCAATGCCTGGAGACCTCATGGTGGAAACAGAGAACTGGCTCTTACAATTAGCTCTTTAACCTCCACCTATGCTGTGGCATACACGTGACAATTCATACACACACAAAAATGATTTTAAAAACTATTGAGAAATAAAACCTTTCCTAGGCAAACAGTAGCTGAGAGAACCCATTCTCAGTAGACCCCGACTATACGAAATAGTCAAGGGAGGCTTTCAGGTGTGAGAAATTTGGCATGAGGGCAGGGGTGTGGCTCAGTGATAGAGCACTTGCCTAGCATAGGCACAGGACAGGGGTGTGGCTCAGTATACGCCTAGCATCCACACAGACCTGAGTTTAATCCTTCACTGAATAAAGAAACAAACCATTAAATAAGGGAAGTGCAATTAAAATATAAGAAATATGATAATCCACAGATATTTGCAAAGGGAAATGAACAGAGTAGAAAATGGAATACATGGTGTTATCTTCTTTCTCCTTGCACGTGAACTAAAGGAAACAAAGGTGGCAGCAGCATTGATGGCTACAGCAGTGTTTTATACAGCATCTGTATGGATATGACAGGACGAAAGGGTAGATTATTGAATCTACTCTGAAAAGAGAGAAGGGGGAAAATAGATTTGCTTACTGTGTAAAAGTGATTTATTATGAGAAGGGATTATGCAATTAATCAAAGATTATTAAAGTCTGGGAAACTAATAGAATAATAGCTAAGAAGTCTAAATAGTAAAGGTAAAAGAAAGATGTAGATTAATGATTTTACTTTGTGTTTAATTTACAAAGCAACTTAAGTATCATATGTTGGAACTCAGAGTAGAGCATTTTCTTTGGAAAATCATCCTTCCATTTTCTAAAAAGTTTCAAGTCCACTTGCTGCAGGATTCAGCAGGTCCCATGACAAGTAACTAGCTAAAAGTGAGTTGCTACTTCTAAATATTGTATATGAATATGTCACATGACCCTGCACTGGAGACTGTACTAATAACCTGTGGTGTGTCCTAAAAACTGCTTATGAATATATCACATGACCCTGCACCGGGGACTGTATTAATAACCTGTGGTGTGCCCTAAATACTGCTTGTGAATATATCATGTGACCTTGCACCAGGGACTGTACTAATAACCTGTGGCGTACCATTGTGAGACTTTCACACTATCCAGCAGCAGAGGAGTGATGGACTGATCAACCGCATGTGAAAACAGATCTTATGTGCATTACCCACGATGCTCAGTTTGCATGTTTACACATATGGGTCACCTGTGATGCATCTGTGAAAGCAAAATGATAAAAGTAGGAAAAGTTGGTGAAGGATAGGAACTGTGGGCAGACTCGGGCAGACTGTGGGCAGACTCGGGGCAGACGGTGGGTGGACCGTGCATTGACTGTGGGCAGACTCGGGCAGACTGTAGGAAGACACTCTGTGAACTGACTTTTGGGAGGCTGTGAAACCACCCCACCCTTCAGGAAGATGCTGCTATGCTGTTGATTGTTCTAACACAACTCTCATTAACCAAGTTTTACTATATTAAATTAATATTAATAGAAAATTTGAGCTAGATAAAGAAACAAGCCTATAATTCCTGAACTTGGGAGGATGAGGCTGGAGGATTTCAAGCTCTAAAGTCAGCCTGGGCTGCAAAGTGAGAGACTAAATAAAGATCCCAGGCCTGAGAATGTACAAGGGTCCAGGTTCAAACTTCAGCACCGCAGGAAGCTGAGGACAATTGGGGGAAAGGAACATATGCAATTTTTATATATTGTTGATTTGTAAGAATGGGGATGCTGAAGTATTTCCATTATGGAGCTTCCTCTCTCCCCCAACCACATCGTGTTAGGGATAGTGCTGAACTGCTGCTGCAGTTTTTGCCACAAGTTATTGTGCATTTGTGTAATAATAAGAAATGTGTGCAACCAGGGCTGGTGAGATTGCTCAGTGGCTAAAGGTGTCTGATGTCAAGCCTGAAACCTGAGTTCAATCCCCAGAACCCGCATGGAAGAGAGAGTATGACTGCAAGTTATCCTCTGCCCTTCACATATGTATCATGGCATGCTTGCATGCACACACACACACACACACACACACACACACACACACACACGCCTGCAACAAAAATTAATTAAAAGGTAATCATTGCAATGCCAGAACCAATTCTGGCTGCTCTCCATGTGCCTTTACTTACCACCCTGTGAGGGCTTTGCCCTGTGTATGCTTTGTCTACTGTGCCCATTATAATTTCCATTGGCCATCATTTATCTGACTTGGTGAGTTATCTGACTATTGCCGCGCTCCATGGCGTGGTGTACATCTTTTATCCCATTCGAGCATCTAGAAGACGCTAAGCTTTGTGGTTCCCATACCATAGACTCGGAAGCACCAGTCTAGGACATCTTCCTTCAGGCTCATGGTGGTTTATCATGGAATCTCTAGAGCCCACATTCTTTGGATCATTCCATGTGGTTTTAATCAATCTCGCCTTGCATTACTGCGGCTCAACTTCCCTTTGCTAAGTACCAGCCACTCACCTCGCAGCTTGGTGTGCAACATCGTCCAGAGCCACATTTCGCAGAGGCTTTCAGCCTGCATGTTTCAGAGTTGCAGCACTCTTTAAACTGGCATTCCTGCACTTTCGGAAGAAAGAGGATTCCGGTTAGGATAGATGCCCCAGCTCTCCTTCCTTCTCCTCTTCTCCCCTTCCTTTCTGAGACAGGCTATCATGTGGCCAAGATTACTCTACTGTACAGTGGAGGATGCCAGTGACCCCCTCACTTTCCAGCCCCCATCTCCCAAGCTCTGGGATTTTAGGAAAGTACCACCACCCACAACTTAATAGCTCTTGCTCTTTTATCCCAACTTTAGTTTGCATGCTGTGCTCCTAATGATATTCAAGGAAGCTTCACTATCCTCAGCTTTTATTATTTGTAGAATTACCGAAAGTATGTGTGACTGAAAGCACTAAGGAAATAGCATTTAAATCCATTGTTGATCTCTAACATGAACATTTTGGTAACTGACTCAGAATTTACTAATATGGAATGCTTTGGGGTCCGGGGGAGTGTGACTTTCCAGGAGAAACACAAACTTTCTTCAATATTATCATTAATGATTTCTTTGCTACACATTTCTATTGAGAATGAAGCTAAACTTTAGGAAGGAAACCAAGACACATTAAGTATTTATTCATGGACACTTTTCCTATTAATAGTGTTGGCAGTGGCCTGTCTACGTCATAAGACACCTCCATTTTCTCACAAAGTAACAGAATATGGAGTCTGTATATTAAGACGGCGTTGGAGGCTTCTAGTGCCATGGTTGTTTGCAATGCTTCTGTGATACCGCTGTTATTCATTTCACATGGTTAAAATGACCCCCGCATCTCTTGATCTCTCCATCTAAGACATATCGGTCTCTCTTATTTTCTATCCTGGAAGTTTCAGGTCTTTCTAATTGGCCTTTACTCTCTGGATGGCTCTTAATGCACATGATATATGGGATTAGTATGGGAGGTCTATAAACTTCAGAGTAGGGCCATCTCAGGAGGTCACAAGACATTGAAAGTATCAGCTGTAGATTTTGTTTATAGACTAGGTTTGATCATTGGGAGCAGCAGTGGACACAGTTGGCATGACGGGCAGTCAAGCCTAGAAAGAATCAGCAATCTCAGCCTGCAGGCCGGTTCAAGGTCAGGCTGGGCTACACAAAACCATGTCCTACAAAAGAGATGTGGGAAAGCAATTGATTTATCTTCATTCTCATATATCAATTCTACACTAAAGATGCCATGATACGCCCAGCATGCACTATGACAATATGCTCTGTGCTCTTTGGATTAGAACAACTGTGGCCAAACATGAATGTCCAGTCCTCACCGTGTCATTGCCACAGTCACACTCTTCATTAGCTTCCACAATTCCGTCACCACACACGGGCTGACTCTCTCGTAATTCTTGCACATTTGAAAGGTTACCAAGACATTTCTCAACAAATTTTGAAGCGTAGTGCTTGTAGTCATGCATGCTACAGTTGCTAAAAGTCTTCACCCCGCTGGAACTCCTAAAGCAAAATAATAGTCTCAGATAAATAAACTTAGCTACTAAAACACATTTAGACAATGCTCCATTAGTAAATCATAGAAATATATACTTCAGCAGAGGTTAAACGTTGAGGAATAAGATATGTCACTGTGATTGGTTTAATAAAAAGATGAGTGGTCAATAGCGAGACCATCCCAGACTTCTGGGATGGCAGAATCAGGGAGAAGTCATGCAGCTGCCGCAGGAGACAGATGCTCTAGAACCTTGACAGTAAACCATGAGCCTTGTGGTAAAATGTAGAATAACAGAAATGGGTTAATTTAAGATGTAAGAGCTAGCTAGAAATATCCTTAAGCTACTGGTCAAACAGTATTGCAATTATTATAGTTTCTGTGTGATTATTTTGGGACTGGGCAGCTGGGAATGAATGAGCAATCTCCACCTACAAGACATGGACTGAGTTGGACACACACACATGGAAAATACTTTATATGCTATCTTATCAAGCACAATATAACATTCCAACTTATAATGTAGAAATTAATAAAAATATTTCAATGTTCATCAAATCATAAGATCAATATTGGAAGAACATGTGCAAAATTAGTTACAACTGAGGGCTAAAGAGATGGCTCAGCAGTTCTAAGCAGAGGTCCTGGGTTCAATTCCTGGCATTCACATTGTAGTTCACAACTGCAATTTCTGTTCTAGGGGACCCTGGACCTGATGTCCTCTTCTGTCCTTATTGGGCACCATGCCTGCACATAGCATAAAGACATACATGCAGGCAAAATACACATAAATAAAATAAAAAAGTATAACAAAGAATTTAAAGGTAAAATTCATCATAAAAATTCTTACACGGCTTCCTGTTGCATTATGCATGGAGCTCTGGGACAGGAACAATTATTGACATCATCATATGATAATCCTATTTGAAGGCCAATCAGTTGAGTGATAACTACCGACAATCCCTCCAAACCTATGTCTTCTGGACACTAAAATAGAGAAGATTAAAGAGAAAAAATATTATATAAGAATAAAACAAAGGCAAGTGATAAATGTCTTTGTAATCACAAAATTTTATTCTCTACTTCTTTTTATATTGAGCGTACCTTGAAATAATTTACTTTGCTATGTATATCTCCGGCTACTTTAATTTAGCTGTATGTTTTATTTGTACATTTATTAGTACAAAACCCCCACAAAACTACACATAGTGTAGACATGCGTGTAACTTAACACAGAAAAATTCTATGAGTATGAAAAAACCTAATAGGTATGCTTCCCTAATGTTTGTTGTATCTAAGTTTGAAATCCTAGTTTTGACGTTTGAATATTAAAGTCAGAACATGCCATAGGGAAGACACCCAATTGGGGAACACCAGATTTTGAGGTAAAATATAGAATCTGAAGTCTTAATGCCCAGTAACACAGGAGTCATGGTCTTCTTTTATTATTGCCTAACTTATATAAACTATTGAATAAAGTCATTCAGATGAAGTGACTCCTCAAAATAAAACACTTTTCAAGTTAAAGTGCTCAAAATGATTTCAGTCCCAAAGCCATCAGTATGAGTTTTGCAGATTTAAAAAGTGCCAAGACATATCCTTCTCTGGGGTCTAGCTTAATTATCTACCACGGAGACTGAAGTAGGAATAAAAAGCCTCCCATCTAAAATAACTCCAGGGCCAGATGGAATCATAGCAGAATTTTACCTAACTTTCAAAGAAATTATTCAAAATAATAGACATAGAAAGAATAGTCCAAACCTTCTATGAAGCCAGTACACCCAAACGGAAAAACTGTACACAAAAACCAAGTAGACAGAGAGGGAAAACTTGGAATCTCAAGCTCTGCCAACCAATCACTGCAGTTCCAATCTCAGATAAAGACATCCATTGAGAAGCAGACTGCAAATCAAAATGGATCCTCAGCCAGCCCAGGAAGCATGCTGATTTTAGTGTAGATCCCACCTATTTTATTATTCATATTTTTGAGCACTCAATATCCATCTCGATTTGTTCCTCTGGTAAACGTCAGTCAAGAAGAGCAAAATCTTTTCTAAACTGTCCCCTTCCAGAGAACCACTTCCTATTTTGATTATGCTTTCTGAGCATGAGAATTAATAAAAAAAACATTATTAAAAAGACAGAAAAGTAAGCTAATTCTCAATCCAGGGGTGTCACCACATGAATGAACTGCCTCAGGACCCATGGAAAAGTGTTCTCAGGAGAAAGGAGATCTACAGATGGAGAAGCAAGCATCTACACAGACCTGACTCTACTTCAAACAAGGCCTAGGAGAAAGATTGCATTGCCTTCCTGCTGATCTTCCAGTCAACTGCGCTTACACACACACACACACACACACACACACACACACACACACACACACACGCTAGGAGGCAAGGAACTCTAAGATACTCTGTTCCCATGGAGACATCCTGGAACAGGAGCTGAGGAGACCTGGTCTAACAGCGTGTGGGTGAGGGACTAAGGCCAAAGGAAGGGCTTTGAAACACTGCAGAATGAAACAGAATACTAAAAGTAGAGAAAAGATGAAGTAAAATGGTTTTATATGTGTGCATATAATTAATAAAGGCTACTGTTCTGAATCATAATGTAAATGTCTAATATGCAGGATTATGCAGGATATCTGACATGCCACCCCGGTGAAAGGGTCATTCAATCTGCCCCAAAGAGGATGCGACCCACAGGTTGAGAACTGCTATTATAGTGATGCACGCAAGCAACAAACAAGAGTTCCCAAGTGGATTAATAGAGACCAGTAAATTCCAAGGTGTGTGCATGTGTGTACATATATATACACATATATTATTATATTAGATATTATATACACATTTTAAACACTACAATTAACCAAAAATTTAAAAGAATCAAATCCCTTCTCCCTCATCCAGCTCCCATGATGCCTGGCTTCTTTTTTTCCTCGGTCATTTGTAGACGTAAGTCGATGGAATATGAAACAGAAATGCACATGTTCCAAAGGAGATAAAGCAAGAACTGTCACGCCACAGCTGTGCACCATGTCCTATGTGCAGTGCAAGAGAAGAAGACACACTCCCCAAATGTCTCTAGAGGACTTTCTTAAACACAGAGGAAGGCAGACATATTTTATTAAAGAATTTGGACAAACAAATGTGATACAGTTATTAAGTCCAGGAAGAGCCACTTATGAAATCAAAGCAATTCAATATTAGTCCATTATTTGGCTCATAAGAGAATGAAATGAAATTTGTGTAGATAGCATTAAGGGTTATGAAATGGCAAACTCAAGTTGATGGCTTTTGCTACTGCCTGACCTTGGACACACAGAGGTGTCTCTACTTTTGAACTAATGTTTGTGCTACTTAAAAATCCTAGGCAACTTTTGCAAATGTCACAACTAGTTAGTGACAGAATATACTAGTCTTTGTATCATGCTAATTATGCTTGAAATGTGTGATACAATGGGATGTTCTTAGAGTCTAACAACTTTGTTCCAAAAGAGTAACAATGAATAGACATATATAGGCTAAAACAAGCCGTTGGAAACCATTTAACCACTGCACAAACACTTACATAATAATAAGGTTGTTGAAAAGTAGTAACATAAAGAAGATGAAAACTACGTACCATGACGATACCCGCAACATAGCTTTTATTGCATATTTCACCCGGTGATGTTGCTCCAATATTGTTTGGATGTTTCCTGTAACTAAACCATGATGGTTTGACTTTGTATTCATGTAATTACATAGTGTAATATATAAGCATTTGTTTACCTCCTCATGAAGTTAAAAAAAACTTGAGAAATATATAAAGGTCCAATCTGGATATCTAATAAAGTTTGCAAAATGTTCAAATTATTATAATTATTTGACATCAACCTTTTTTCTTCACTTAGCTCCAAGATTTGATATTATTCTATTATCTGAAATGCTACCAAGTTTCCCTTATTGTGCCATAACTCCTTAAGTCACTAAAAGTTGAAAAGTAAGGAAAATAATGTTTAACTTGTAGAAGTCATTTTACTTGTCTTAAACATAAGCACTTATTTAATAATAAATTTTCACAAAGCAAGCTACACAAATCTATCCCTGTGAAAAGTGATATGAAATACATCGATCTGTATAGGTAAAATTAAATAAACTATTTTTAAATTATTAATTAGATTAGATTGATGTATTCTGTAATAAAGCTGATATCATATAAGCTAATGCAATTCAGGATTTGTTCACATTAATTCTACTTTAAATGTAAAAATATGCAAATATGAAACTGGTCATCATTGTCTTTTATTTTTAAATTATTGCCTTCATACATGAAGATATATATATCTTCAAAGTGTCCTACAGAAAACTGAAGAGTAGAATGAATGCAAAACTCAACCTTCATGAAATTATTAATCTGTTTATCATGCAGAGCACTGTCTACTTACGTGAGTAAGTGTGTTATCTCATGGGACTGTAGGGTAAGATAGTCTCGTTTCCAGTCCAAAAGTCTTTGTAAAATATCATTAGCATCGCCATCAGTAGAAATTTGATTTTTATCTGACCACAGTTCCAAGGAGGCTAACACAGCCGTCAGTTCCAGCTGAGTAACCATCTATGAATAGGATTTACAGTGCATGCTTAAAATGCATCAGCTATTATATAAAAAATACAGAAGGACGTTCGCTAGAGTATTGGGAACATTGATCTAATAAAATATATTCAAGTCATTAATTTTCCATACTTATAAAATGCAAATTATATTTAATGTTTTTTTCATGAAATTAGAAATCTGAAAAATTAGAAACTTACTGTGTTAACAAGCTCAATAATCTGGAAAATTTTCTTTGTTACAGCCATAATGTCAGATCCCATATAATCATACTGAAAAACAAATTTAAGGTTTTTAGAATTTATTAAAATAATACGACAGTAAATTTTCAACAGCCAAATTATTTTGGAAATTTAGGACAAGCATAGGTTTATCAAGTATATTAATATTTTTTATTTTTTATTAAAGTTTTATTTTGTCAATGATATGTAAAATGTTATCCTAATTATAATACAATCATATATAATCTATATTATATAAAACATAATTATATATGATAAACACTACAAGTATACAAATACAACTATATAATAATAATTTTTTAAAGTAATTTTTATTAAAAATGAAGACCCAAGAACGCACAAGCATTTAGAACAGACTTAAAGTACACTTCTAAGACTCTTAAGCAGAAAAGAAACTTATTTTTCTAATCCCCAAGCCCCTACCCTGCTAAGTGGTATCTTGGTCGAAACTGGTCTCCAACAGGTGATTTCAGTTAAACCCCTTTCTGTGAATATGCAATTATAAAATAAAACAGCAGCTTCTGTATGGGGTTTAGTTGTCTCTTCCAGCACGCCCTCCTCTGCCTCACGTGCCCATCTCTCCACCCACTTTAAATTCGCTCCACGTCACTGAATCATCAGTCTTAACTGATTCCACTTCTCATGTTGCACACATTCCTCAGCATCTCCCAGCTACATATGGGTGAAACACAAGCTCCAGCCTTAGGCTGAGATTCAGCCACCCTGATTGGTCCTCCCACAGACCCACACTCCCGGGATGATTGTATCCAGTCCAGTTACATCCACCCGCCTATCACTCAACAAACAGAGCAGCATATTTCAGAGACTCCTGACTTGGGCTCCCACAACTGTGTGCATCTGCTACATTCTTCGCTACTTGTCTTAAAAATCTTCCCTGTGTGCATTGCACAGCTACTGCACCTTCCAGTATATCACCATTTCACAGTTTATATGAACATACACTATATCACAGTGCAATTCCCTTACTGTTTAGCTCTTTTCAAAATTAAATTTTATAAAGCAGACGATATGGAATAAATAACAAACTAAAAGACCTGTGAGCTCAAAGAAAACAAATCATTTCTGTCTCTAATTTTTTTTTTGTTTTTTTTGTTTTTTGTTTTTTTTTAGTTTTTTGAGATAGGGTTTCTCTGTGGCTTTGGAGCCTGTCCTGGAACTTGCTCTGTAGACCAGGCTAGCCTCGAACTCACAGAGATCTGACTATCTCTGCCTCCCAAGTGCTGGGATTAAAAGCGCGCACCACCACCACCTGGCTCTAAATTTTTCATTAAAAGAAAGGAGGAGAAGAAATGGAGGAAGGTAGTAGGAGTGAGGAAGTGAACAGGAAAAAAGGGGAAATAGGAGAGAGAGAGAAAAGGAGAGAAGAGAAGGAAATGTGATAGAAGGGGACAGGAAGGAGGAAAGAAGGGACATTGACTTACCAAAGATTTTCCCACTATCATGTGCAGTTTTAGACTTTGAGGTAATAGTTGTGAATCATTTTTATCCTGGAAAATAACCAAAAATATTAACTGTTAATTCATACTGAACTTTCTAAAAGCAAAAGTTAGCATGCAAAGAAGTTAGGGGAGACATATATAAAACCATCGTGAAGACCTAATATAAAAAAAAAACTATTACAAAACATAACTTTCACTTCAAAACATCCTTGACACGAGAGGTTCACTGAGGGCTTCACCTTTAGAAGGAGAACTTTAAGCACTGGTGGTTGCTGTGAGCTCCTGATAGGTTAGCCAACCACAAGAGGTCTGCTCTAACCACATATGTGCAACACTGAATAATCTCAATGGGCTGTGTTTATGAATGTTTTTCTCTGTCTCTCTTTCTCTCTCTGTCTCTCTGCCTCTCTCTCTCCCTCCCCCCTCGTGTGTGTGTGTGTGTGTGTGTGTGTGTGTGTGTGTGTGTGTAACAATTACAATTTAAAAAAAGAAGCCATGAATTCAAGGAAAGGAGGGGACACAGGACGAATTGGAGAGAGAACAGGGAGAGGGAGAATGATGTAAATACATGAAAAAAATCAGAAGCCCACTGGAGAGTCTTTATCACATTCTCCCTGTGTGTTTTTTGCATATTTGTTACTGTCACATGACCTTCTGCGATTAAAACACTGTGACTTTAAGAGAGGCCTGGTGTGGGAAGTCCTTCTGTATATGTGTTGCTTTTATTGGTTAATGAATAAAGAAATTGCCTTGGTTTGTGATAGGGTAGAGAAGAGCTGGTAGGGGGAACTAAACTGAATGCTGGGAGAAAGAAAGCAGAGTCACAGAGATGCCATGTAGCTATGGGAGGGGAAAGATGTGAGCTGCCAGTTGGAACCTTGCCAGTAGGCCACAAACCTATATAAAGTATAAAATAATGGAAATTGGTTAAATTACGATGTAAGAGCTAGCTAGCAATATGCTTAAGTGATGAGCCAAGCAGTGACTTAAATAATACAGTTTTCTGTGTGATTATTTCGGGAGTCTAAGCAGCTGGGAAATGAACAAGCAGCCTCCTTATAACAGAGGCCAGTTGGTCTTTCCTTTCTTCTAGGGGTTGTGCCTTTGATTTATGTTGTGGGTTCTAAAACATTTTCAAGTGTCTTTATTGTCAATAACAGTGCAGTCATGGTTGCTTATGATTTTGTCTACGGCTCATGTTATTGTGTAAACACATATTATCTTATAATGATATCTAGTACCCATGTATCTACTTATCTTCTTGCTATTTTTTAACAGTTATGAGAAATTCATATCACTTTCAGAGAAAACAGAGTCCTTCGTATGATAAATCTTACAGTCCCATAAATAAATAGTATTCTTCTCCACTTACTTATTCTTTATTAAATCAGCACTTTGCAGTTTGTGTGTACAGCATTTCTATACTTTCCCTGCTATTTATAGAAGTGTGATAGATTTTTATATTTCATATAATACTCACTACACGTGTATTTACATCATTGGATTCAGGAGTATCACATAATCTGCCAAGGAATCCTTTATCACGATGGAGAGAGTGATAAAGGGGGACGGCCCTGAGTTTATCAAACTTTAATAAGAGAGCAGTTGGTATTGTGTCACTGCGCATCATATTTGATTAGGTTTTCATGAATAGTATTTGTCAGGGGCAAACCCCACTCTATTACAAGGTTTCTGAGTGTCTACATCAAATGGATGTTGAATTCTATTATCCTCTTTTACTACACAATGGACAAAATGTGATTGAAACAAATGGAGGTGAAACAATTCATTCCATGGGAAAGTTTGTTACTTTCAGGAAATAGAAAACTCAAAATGTTTAGGAAGTCCCTGAAACTGACCAGATTCATTAAATCTCTCACTTCCCAAGATGTATATGCCATAAGGCCAGCTGAGAGAGACTCTCAGTCCATCCAGCCTGTGTGTAAATGGTATTTCTGTCTGAGGAATGTTGTCTAATCTTTGCCTTTAAATTTCGACTGTTACCCAAATACTTCAAAGTCATTTACAACTACGTATTCCTTCTGCCTGTGTAGTATACGCTGAATCTGTTTGGAATTAACGGATCTATGCTTTGGATGGCTCAATGTACCTTGTTCCCTGCTTTTCCTTTGTGACTCTTTTGTGGTTCTGACTCAGCAGTGCCTATGTGTGGGAGAGGAAGACCATTTGGTGGAAGCAGTGAAGCCTTTGAAGCAATGCCCCTCCCCAGTCTCCATGGGCTGGAAGCCACACACAGGTGGTAAGAGCTGATTGTGCCTTTGTGTGTTCTGGGTCAACAAGGCCAGAGAAGCAATCATCTCCTTTATGAGACTCTTGTAGATTAATTAAGACAGAAGTTCCTCCCTCCTTTTCACTACTGCATAGAATGAGATCAGCTGAACCTCTTCTGAATAAATCAGGCCCTCTCTTGGGCAAAGGGCCCCGAAAGCTAGTCCTTCTTCATCAATGCAGCATGGCGGCAAATGTGCATTGCTTGGAGGAGGCGCAGACAGCCTGAGCCGCCTAGAAGAGACACCCTCTATTCTGCCGAGTTCCTTGCAGGGGCAGTGTACTCAGGTTTCCAGCCCTTGTCATTTTTTAGTTATTGCTAGCCACTCCTCATGCTGTGGTGATATTTTAAGGTGGTGAGGCTGACTTTGAGTAATCACTTCTGTTTCTGTAAATAGCCTCTCACCCACAGTCCTGTAGGGAACCCCAATACAACACCGGTTCACTCAATTGGACCTTGTCAGTATCCATACTTGGATCTGTCATTGTAGTCCTATCTGGAGTGTTCAGATCTCCCCAGAAACAGTGTCATATAATACCAAAAAGTGGAGCTACCCCAAAGTAGGTGGATCTTCCCACTAATAAAGATAATCCCCCATAGACATACCTAAATGCTAAACTCTCTCTCTCTCTCTCTCTCTCTCTCTCTCTCTCTCTCTCTCTCTCTCTCTCTCTCTCTCGTATTTTCAAGACAGGTTTTCTCTGTGTAGCTTTGGAACCTGTCCTGGAACACTCGCTCTATAGACCAGACTGGCCTCAATCTCTTACCAACACTCCTTCCCCAGGTGACTGGAGACTGTTAACTTGGCAATTAACGCTAAACATCAGGAGCAACATTGTGAGAATTAACCCTATCCAGGGAGACCTCCACCCAGGCACCAAGAGAAAGAGAACGCTGGCCTGGGCTCAGCACCTGCTTTAGGGGGTCCTGCCACAACCAGAAGTCTTTAAGCACAGTTTATATCAGTCAGATTACAATGTTGCAATCTTACAGGTACTTCCATCTGCAGCTAGGTTGTAGGGTCCAGCCCCAGGTTATGCTTTCTGAGCAACTAAACGAGTTCACAGGGACAGAGAAGTACAGATGCAGTTGTCATAAAACAAATCAGACACCCATCCTCTGGGCAGCTGACAGCCAAAACTATCCTCCCAAGGCAATGTGATAAAAGTGTTTCTTCTGATGGGAGGAAAGGGCTTTGCATTGGCAAGCGACTCTAATAAACAGGTTTCAAAAGGCGCAACACTCCAACAAACTTAAAATTCTAATTAAGTCAGAAGTGTCTCTCTATTTATCTTTCTATATTGGCCTAGAGAAACTGTTCAGTGCGTACCCATCTTACAGCCACACTTGAGTGATGGATGAGGCAGAACCCCTTAACTAAATGTTTTATTTCTATGGAACTTAGTATTTCCAAGGTAAGCTTATTAGTGAACCCTATTTAAGTCATAGTTTAATTGGTTCGAAAGCTTGCTAATATTTCTTTTCACCTCTGGTAACACAGAAATGACTGCCTATTAGAAAATATGTCCGATTAGCACAGAAAGCTACATAAGAAACACTGGAAGCACTTTGAGCAGGCTACTGAAATTAGTGGTATTCTTTCATTGTTCAGAAGATTTTAATAACAAATGTTTCTTTTGAAAAATACCGACGTGAAGATGTTACAACTACATTATAAAGCAGTAAATGTGAGGCAGGATCCCAGGTGATCTTCCAGGCTAAGTGCAATCTGAATGTTTCGTGTCAAGGCAGAGAACAAAGCTACGGAATGTACTATTTATACTCGTCAGTCTAGTCACTCTTCGCGACTGATGGACAACGGGAGGGATTCCACAGTGCTCCTTACCACCACAACTCCTATGGTTACCTGTGCATTGAAATGACCTTTATCGGGCTGGTCTATTTGCCAAATACGACTGTAATTTTTTGCTAACGTTGAATTGCCATTTTTCACTTGATAAACTATGTGCTCAAATCTTGCTGAAGACTCCAGTGGTTCAATTCTATAGGTGATATTTTCAAACTGTAGGAATCCCCTGAATTCAGAAAGACAGTCATTATCAAAACCATGTACAATACTTTCCAAGCTACCATCCGAAATGTGAGAAAGAAGAAACCACCGTGAAACAAATGGCTTCGTGCATTTTTCCTGTTTGCATTTGCAGGCAGCGCTATTTAAAACTGCCACTCTTGGTCTTAACTTTGAAGGATAGCTCAGGGTAGCCTCAAACCTTGGATCCTCTTGCCTCTGCTACCAAGTGCTGAGATTGATCGGATGCCTGCATCACCCTAGGTAGCACTGCACTCCTTTTAAAGGACAGTGTTAGAAACCAAGGTCTATTGAGGTGCAGGAACAGTGGGACAAAATTAAAGTCCACTTCATATGTTCCTGGGAATAAGAGCATCAGGGCAGCACGAGAGAAGTTCTGTTCTGGTGAGAGGAGAGGGGTATTGTGGGAACAGAGAGAAAATGGAATCAGAAAGACAACTTAGAGCAAAGTACAAAATCACAGGCAACTTCAAGTTCGACTCCTTGGCAGTGGGCAGAGCCCAAGCTAAGACACGGCGAGCACACACGTGCAACAAACTATCAGGCCCAGTGCAGGAGAAATCCCTCATCTTTAAGAGCTTCAAACCCAACATGAAATACGGCCAGCCAGGGATGACTTGTTCAGATAACAAATTCATTCCGTCTCTCAGCATCACTGGGGGCAGTAACCAGGAAGTATCTAGAAAAGGCATTACTGTTGAGGATACACTACTCTTTGGGTCAGGAAAGGTACAATTTTGGACCCCTGAGGATACCTTGCCACAGTGACTGAGTGAAACACAAGTTTAAGAGACAGTCACAGACAGGAGAGATTCTAACACATTGCCAAAGGAAATTTACAGATTCTGTGCACTCTCTATTTAAAAACAAAACAAAACAAAACCTAAATCTTGGTGGTGATGGGGAATCCTGAGATTCTTGTGGGAGGACAAAAGACTTTGATCATCCAAGTAATTGTGAGCAAATTCAGAAATCTGAATGTATCCAAACACTTAAGTTCAAGTTATACTACAAAGCTATCTATAGAAACAGAATGGCAAGTTATTGACAGAAGTACAGATCAATAGGGTAGGACCAAGAACCCGGAAGTAAGCCCATACATCTTTTGCAAACTGGTTTCTGACAAACAGGCCAACATCTTAGGTTGGAGGTCTGACCTCCTTATGAACATTGTTGGAAAAACTAGATATTCACAAGTAGAAGAGTAACGTATGAAGGCGTAAGTCACAGACAATCCCACACCAGTTTGGAATTATGATTAATAGAATGGTTATTTATTCAAAGGGGGAAAAAACTTACAGATTACCGTCCCAGACAAGCCCCTCCGTGCGAACAGGAAAGGAGTCTAGAAGCCGGAAGTGAAGCCAGAAGCTGGAGAGGGAGAGGAGGACAACCGCTGCTTTTTTTTAAAGAGAGAGAGAGACCACGCCCTAATGGGCTGGTAACTCAGCGGCGATTGGCTGAAGGAGCGGAAGGAGCTCCCGCAGCAAATGTAGATCTTTTAACTTATATAGAATTCATCAAAAAGTTGACCAGAGAACTTAGAACAAGACCTGAAACTTTAAAAACACTAGAAGAAAAAATAAAGGAAAGACTTCAAGAATGAGCCTTGACGAGGACTTTGCTTAGAAAAGAGGAGCATTGGCAAGTGAGATAGAATTAACGTGAAAGTGTCTGCGCGGCAAAGGATCAACAGAGCAAGAATGTCCTACAGACTATCAGTCATTCATTTGTCCCACATCAGACAATTGCCAAAAACCTCAAAAATTAAGAAAAAAAAAGCAGCAACTGAGTCAATAAATGGAGAAAAAGACATAAAAGTCACTTCTCGAAATATGTTCAAGGGACCAGTAATACATGAAAAAGTGTTCAAGTTCACTCGCTGTCAGATAAACACAAATCAAAGCTACACAGGGGTCTGGTGGGTGAGCGCAGGGGTGGAGCACTTGCAGGCCAGGCCCAAGGCCGTGGTGAGATGCTCAAACACTGGGAGAAAGGAAGAGAGAAATGCACTGAGATTCCTTCTGGTCCCAGTTAGAATGGCTATTACCCCCCCCCAAAAGCCAATGCTGGCAATGAGGAGAGAAAAAGAACTTTATATATTGCTGATAAAGGTGTCAGTCAGTATAGTCATTATGGAGTACACTAAGAGTTCCTCAAAAAAGAAGCCGCAGAAGAACCAACTATTGCATTCCTGGGCATGCACTTCATTAATCAGCTTTCCACTCCTCAGACAAAATGCCTGAGAAAACTTTAGATGGTGTCTTAGTTAGGGGTTCTATTGCTGTTAAAGCACTCTCAAGTCCTCATTTCTCAAACCATCCCTTCCTGCCCAATAGGAAACACCTCTGCTCAGGTGGCCTCGGCTGGGTTAATGTGAGTGACAGCTTAGGTCCACGTGGTAGCACAGATAAAAGGTCATCGGAAAAGAAACTTTCAGAGTCCCGCTGGTGGCTCCTCTTGATTTGTATCTGCTCGGCACGGCTTCGCTTTAAAGTGGATCCTTCTGCGCTTTTACATAATCGTTCTCTAGGATGCTATTACCTGAGGCCAGAGCAGATGTTGAGAGTCACAGTGGAATTTGGAAGTTCATCAACATACCCTCGGTAATAGCAATGCGTCTGCAAAACAGATCACACGGGTGAAGACGCAAATTCTTTTTATAATAAAAAAAAAACTGTGTTGTCAAATATTTTAGAAGGCTCATGGTAGCAAAAGATTTGATAATATTAAATCATGAATTGTGTAGAATTTTTAGTGCAAACTCTCAGGAAGTAAGATTTGGGGCCCTTTCTTTACTTGTGGGTTTTCTCCATTTTTCTATCTCTTTCCCAGGACATTTCTATGTATAGAAGTCATCCATATAATAGGTCATAGTCCCAAGGAGTTAAACATTTGAATTGGTGTCAACATGGGTCTTAGAAAGTAGCACCATGATAGAGTTTTCTTAGGATGTGCAAAGGCCCGGGTTCAGTCTTAGCAACCGAAAGCAAAGTCTAAAAGGGAGATGTGGTCTAATATATTGTACATTCTTTTCAGCAACAACATATAAGATAACAAATATTAAGACATCTAATTCTTACCATAATATGTGAAGAGTCAGTATACAAAGATCCATTTTCATTATATGTATAAACCAAAAAATCCTGGGATAAGAATGAGCTAGAAGGAAACCAACAGACAGAATTTCAGTCATCATTTAAAATGAATAAGCACATTAATAAAATAATGTTTAGTGCAATGGATTTATATAGTAGCATGATTTAATCATATTAATTTTAGTATGGTATCATTGTTCATGCTATTTTTTAAAAAACTGACATATGGGCAGAGTCAGGAGAATTCAACCCTGGGACAGCACTGTCAGGTATTTCTGTGTATGTCTTCATTGAACAAATACTCACTAGTATGTTTATCATATGACAGTCCCTCGTCTGGGCCTTGGAATATAGTCCTAACAAGACAGTCAGAGTCACATGTGGTTATATGACAAAGAGCAAGGCCTGGTTATTGTGGAGTGATTACACAGAGTATATAGTCATACATGACAGCACTCGTGATTACATGCCCAGACACAAGGGATAGGCCATAGGGACCTTCAAGAACTGGGACAAAATGAAAGGGTCTTGAGCCAGACATAGCTGTGCACATACGAAGAGTAGCAGTGAGTACTGGGTCTGGCCTAGAGTGTGGAGTGACAGAGTGAGATGGAGTCACAGAGGATTGGGGTACATGTAGATAGTAGCCAATCAACGTTCTAAGAGAGTCACAGGCAATGCTATGTTGAGAACAATCTGCAAGGCAAATACACAGAAGCCAAAGCTAGTCAGAAGACTAATCCTGTCACCAGAGTCATCGCGATGGAGTCTGGAATGGTGATGGAAATCACGGTAGAAGCCCACACAGACCTGAAAAACCCTCTGAACCTTGGGCAAGGCAAATGTAAGAGAGATGCTAAGGATATACTTTTCTTCTTTCTTGTCTTTTTTCTTTTTTTCTTTCTCTTTTTTGGAAAACTGGAAAGGATGACTTGCCATTTGCTAAGATGCTCATGAGTAATGCAGATTTGGGAAGAGCATCTGGGGTCCACTTTTAGAAGGTTAGCAACACGACTTGGAGCAAACATTTGATTATGAAAAAGAAATAGTGACTGAGCACAGCATCCATTGCAATGAAGAACCACGTGGATATAAACTGACAGCAACCAACAGTCAGAGAATACACTTACAGCCACAAGACCGAACTGAAACACTAGCGGACTGAATACACATTAGACACGAGATTCATTTTGTATCCTCGGCTTGGAAAGGTGAAGAAGAATCTGCAAAGGGCTGATGCAGAGAGAATAACAAGATTAGGAGTACTGGTAAGAGTCAAACCAGGGCCAGGGGTTGATGACAGTCTGGAGTCCAGTGGAGTCCATTTTATGGAAAGGACATTGACCAGTTACGCCAAATGCCCTCAGCTGGTAGAGAATAAATGACTAAATGAAGATTAAAACAGAACCATGTTATTAAAAAATACCTGAAAGGTAGTGACAATCTTATCAAAATTTCTAATCCTGTTTAAATGGGATACATTGCAGAAGGGAAGGTCACTGTGAGGTTGGCTGACATCATGGAGGACGATGCAGCCACAAAGCAAAGAGGAAGACAAGCGGCGGCTGCTGCACGTCTTTGTTGTCCCTGAGGCTGCAAAGGGGCCACCCGATTCCTCTTGTAAGAAAGGCCGAGAAGATGCAATGATGACATAGAGACCGTGGGTGGGAACAGAGACGGACGAAAATTTCAAGTCAACTGTTGTTTAAGGACAGAAAGATTACTACGAAGCACTGAGACTTCCGTGAGCTGAAGCTGACACGGGAGATTTTTAATATGCAAAATATACTAAGGAAGATTGTTTTAAGTCACATATATAATTAGTGCACCATAAAATTGACTCTACCTGAATTTCTCAACAATAGGCAGTTGAGTACTAACTATTTGTCTTCAGAAATCTATGCAATTTACCACGCTTGGGTCTAATGGAAGATTTCCGAATACAAAATTCATTTCTCAATTTAAAATATAAATCTGAAAAATTAAATACAAGAGCCTCATAGGCATAATATTCAGGACCTAACAAATTCTAAATTGAAAAGTTGATTGACCATCATACTACTGGATTTAAATACTGTATATAAACTTAAAAGAGTAAAAACTAAGCATAGGTATTTACTTTTTCCAAAAGAAAAAATACATCTTACTAGTTCCTGAGATGCAGAGAATGGGATTCACCATCAATTGTAATGACATAAGCCACCTAAAATAGAACAAATTGAAAGATAATTTAGTAATGCAGACATATGCAACGTAAGACACTATTTTTCACTCAATAAAACTATCTCAGCACATTAAAAATGACCATATTCTTTAGAATATATTGCATTAATTAGTAAGATTTTAGAGTTGGTTGACTTTGGAAGAGTGTGATTTAGTGTGTTGCTTGAAATGCTTAAAAAGGAAAATATTTTGAAAACTATAATTTTTAGAATTACTGATATTTTATTAATTGATTTTATACATTTCTAATGAAAATAAATAAACAATGATTGAAAGTTATATTATACATCAAATATAATGAACAAATAACAATTTATAAATACATGCATATTATAGTATACACATCTCAACTCTCAACATGTAAAACTACAAAGGGGTTAAAAACAAGCCTAAAAGACTAAGCAGACAAAAAACCAAGAGCAATGCCACAGCCCAGGGGCAGGGCTCCCAAATATCAGGAACTGAGTAACAATCACCCTCTTCCATGTTACACAAAACCAAGCAGAATGGGAGGTGATTGCAGAGCCGCTTGGTTCATGCCTACAGATGGAGATCACACCAACCCAGCAACTCACTTTAAGTTAAACTACCAGAACCCGTGAGCTTTGCAGGAGACACAGGCAGTGTTGCACATGACCAGACACACCCAGGAAGTTCAAGAACACACAGTTATAGAAGGGAAGCTCATAACCCAGATCTGGGGCAAAGCTGATACTAGCAGCCCCTTATGACCCATGCTAAGCAGTACATCAGATCCAACACATTGTTCTAGAATAAATGAAGAATCAAGACTGCAGTGATACATCTTATGAAAATATTTCTTATGCTGGAAGAGACTGGAACCTTTGCTGTACCTCACAACTGAGTTAATAATAAGCCACGTAAGAGTCCCTTGGTCTTTGAGCCTCAGGCTCTTACACTCTTTCCGCCCCCTCTTCTGCAGTGCTCCCTCAGCCTTCGGGGGGGGGGGTTGTGGGACTGTATTATACTCCTGTCCATGGAAGAATGCTTTAGTATGCCTGTGTGTTTTGACACTCATTTTTTTAAAAAAACAGCAAATAGAACAAAAAATGTCCTTATACAGTGAATATCTGCATTCATGCTGGAAATATCATTCATTAAACAATACAGAAAACTGACCACAAGAAAGGAATGAGAGTCATTTTACAGAAATCTGTAAGGTTTTGCAAGGGATTAAGTTACGCACCCTGACTGGTCCATCTAAGTCAGGTACCAAACAGTACTGCAAACACCATGAGTAAGTAACATCCATATGCTTTTTCCAGCATTGATGGTGGATATTTGTTGTAAGAATGCTCTAGACCCGTTGGTTGTACACACACACACACACACACACACACTGCTCTTAGTCGGGGACATGGAAGAGATTACAACCATGGCCATGCATTAATTTAGGTTGTAAAACTGATTTCATGAGAAATACCAGGCAATTAAGGTTAATTGTTACTCTCTACTCTTACAGGCAGGTTAAATAAATAAACGGGCTGAGTACACAGTAAGCTAATTCCTTACTAAGACCTCAGGGTATATGCTTAATTCAGCTTTTGGGTCCAGTGAAAGTTCTAGTCTCTTAGAATATAAGCAACATTTTCACAACAGTTTAGGCTGGCTTCACCCCCAGCTAACAGCTTTCCTCAGCAGGTATCCCATGACTCTGGCATCTCCAGCATCTTGGGGTCTCCAAGGCAACCCAGGCTTCAACTTCACAACTTCATGCAATGTACTCTCTTCTGGGCCTCCACTCAAGGACACCCCTGACTCAAGCCTGGCCCCAGCAACATTCCTTTGATGCAGAGGCAATTTCCATAACCTGTTTCTTTTATCCTTAACTCTAAAGCCAGAAGAACATGGCTGAAGCTGCCAAGTTATGCTGTTTGCTTGAGCTGGAACATGGCCCCCTTTGTCAACTACATCTTCACCTGCTTTCTGTTATTGCTTCCTTCACTGCTTAAGTTTGGATGTTTTAGAACTTGCTCTGTAGACCAGGCTGGGCTCAAACTCAGAGATCTGCCAGTCTCTGCACCCCACCTGGCTCTAAGCTTTTCATCAATGCCTTTTCACAAGTTGGAAATTTACCCGGATGAGATCCACCTGCCTCTCCCTCCCAAGTGCTGGCATTAAAGGTGTGCACCATCACCCTCGTTCAAAGCTTTTCTTTAGTTCCTCCCCATTATAAATCTTCATTAGAGTTGCTACCAAAAACCACATGACAGTCTATATTAGGCTGTTTTGACAGAATCGTCAAAATTCTTCACTTTTGTCTTGGGCCAATTGTTTGGACAGGGGCAAAAAGCTACCACTCCTGCATCAAAATATCACAAGAATAATCTCTAAGCAACATACTGAAATTCTCCTCTTCTGAATCCTCTTGAGGTAGCGCCCCCCCCCACAGTTCATGAAATTACATTCAGCACCATCTTCCATGTTCCTATGAGTATGACCCACTAAGTGGTGCTTAAAGTTTTCTGCTGCTTTCCTAACCCAAAGTCCCCAAAGTCTATATTACTCCAAACAAAAGTATGGTCAGGCCTATCACAGCAATATTTCATTTCTAATACCAACTTCTGTCTAAGGGTTTTTATTGCTTTGAAGGGACACCATGACCATGGCAACTCTTACAAAGAAAAAAAAAGTTGCAAAACGAAAGAGATAGAGATCAACAACATTTGGTGCTGCCTGCCCGTGACGCTGACAACCCCTATAACAGTGTAACTGAACACATGATTTTACAAGATTGATAATAATTTTTAAATGCTTGACAACGCTAGTGAGATACTAACTGTACAAAAGCATTGTTCTGCTTTGTTGATTCTTAAAGCTTTGAAAGTCTTGACTGTTATTATTTTGATAATATAGGAAAAAAACAGTACTTTTCAACTTACGCGAAAACATTAAAATTGCTTACAAGTTCAAGTTTGACATATACAATAAAACTTTGTGTGAAGTAAGGTAGTCCAGTCCTGCAAAAATGATCTTTAGACTCATTGCAAGCTTTTTCCAAATGTCAATGACACCCCACACAAAACTAGGAAAAAACTAAAATGAGCTTGCAACCTAAAAAGTCCTGGAGTCGAAGCAATTTTAAACAAAAAGAACAAAGAAGAAAGCAACATAAATGACTTCAAAAATATGCAACAAAACCATAGTAATCAAAATAGCATGGTGTTAAAATTTAAAAGAATAAACCATTATGGGCCAATAAAATAATATGGAAAATTTAGATGTAAACTCACATTTAAAACCATCTGATTTTTTTTTACAGAGGTAATAGAAAAAAAAATCATTGCAAGAGGGACAAACTTTTCAATAAATGGCACTGGAAAATTGTTTATACACATAAAGAGTGAAATTAGATTCAGTACAAATAAAGATATTTAGCGTCATTGTTCATGGTAAAAGATCAAAGCCACAATGAGTCATTATGGTCTTGAAAGTGTTATTAGTACCAAAAAGACAGCAGACAACACGTGTTGGTGAAGATGTAATGAAATTAGAATTCTCATACACCAGTAGTGGCAATGTTAATGGTTCATCCACTATGGAAAATGGAGGAGAGATGGCTCAAGAATATTCAGACATAAATTATCACATAGCCCTTCAATTCAACATACCTATATATCTAAAAGGGAAAGGTCGATACAAACTTATATGCTACCGTGCAATATCCATTACAAATGTCTCAGAATTGCCAAGATATGAAGACGAAAATGTGCATTGATTGATGCATGATCAAAGAACAGGTGGAGGGTGTATGTGTGTGTGTGTGTGTGTGTGTGTGTGTGCACATTGTAAACAGGATTGAGGTTTTTGTTTATTCTTTAACATAATCCTCTATCAGTGTATTCACACACACACACACACACACACAGACACACAATGACCTTCATAGGAGGTAATGCTACCATATTTACTTAGATGAATCCAGATGCTGCAGCATTAGGTAAAATGTACCAGCTACTGAATGACCAATACAAGGTTGTACTTACATGCTGTGTCTACAGAATCAGACTTAGAGAAAGCGAATAGAATGTTGGTTGTCAGGCTCCAGAAAGAGGGGGAAAGAGAACTGTCACTTCGTGGGCATAAAGTTTAAATTATGCGATATGAATCAGCTCGAGAGAACTGATGCACACCCAGCAAGCATGGAAATGTTTGTTAAAGACGGTAGATCATTTGGTCACGTTCTTGCCACAAAGAAAAGCCCCGAAGCACATCAGGAAAGTCTAGGAAGTACTGCGTCTATTTAGTAAATTCAGGGTCTTAACGGTTTCACAGATGTGCGCAGATGCCAACACCCATAAAAATGTGCATTCAATGTGTGCACTTTTACGATCTAGAAAAGCCCAACAGAGCTTTAAAAACCATTTCTCAAAAGTAGACTCTACCATAAATCAGCTTCGAGACCTGCGAATAAGGGCTGGTGAGGCAGCCCAGCAGATAGAGGTGCCTGTCTCCAGGCTTGACTGTTTGAGCTCTGTCTTTAGGGCTGGCAGGGCAGAAGGAGAGAAGTGGCCCTCTCAGACTGTCCTCTAACCCTCACACAGGGACTGTGGCACGCATGCACGCAATCAGAGACACCCGTGGGGGAGGGGCGGTAAGTCAATTTTGAATTATTTTGTTTATTTATTTTCTGTGCATGGGTGTCTTGTCTGGGTGTAAGTCTGTGCAGGACACACATACAGTGCCTGGGAAGGCCAGAAGAAGGTGTCAGATCTCCTGGAAGTAAAACCACAGACAGTGGTGAGCTGCCATGTGGAAGAGTGGTTAGTGTTCCTTAATCCCCAAGCCATCTTTCCAGCCTCAATGACTACATCTTCAAAAATCAAAACAAGGGTAATTCCAAATTTTTAAAAAATATGCCAAACTGTAGTCAAGTATTAACACCTCCACCCCCACCCTGTTCTCAGTGAGAAAAAGTATTTCCTCTCTACATAATAGCTGTTAGGACCTTCAGTATCCAGAACTAGAAAGGCAAACTATCTTCCAACTTATTTGTATATAACACACATGTGTGTAATATATGCTATATATAATATTATACATATTCCTTTCTCTAACTTAATTCAGCTTATGACAACATTTTACTGCGAAGCAATTCATTGTGTAGAAGCTACTAACAGAGCTTTTGATTTGCACGTTGGGTCAATGTCATGCACATTTCACATAAAATTGTTTTATATTTTTTTTTAGACCAGAATGATTACTGGGAAATGTTCACTATTTCTTGCAATTTAAAAATAAAAAGAGACTTTAAAAGGAGATGGGAAAGGGGAAGTGACACAGGAGAGGAGAGGGTGAGGGTGCTTAGGACCAAAGCAGAGGTCAACAAAAGGCCACCCTCAGGCTTGAGGCATGAGCAGAAAACCCGGACTGACCTCTCCTGGAACTCCGCTCTCGGGCGGGTCTATCTTCCTTGGCACGGTGACTTGCAGCCATATTCCTTCCGAATCTGCAGCAAGAACATGGATTTTGTTGTTTGGGGCTTTTAATTTCGGTTGCTTTGGTTTATTTCCCGAATCCATACTCCAGCCACCGTTGCTCAGTGCACCCTGAGCCCTAATGTGGTCAATAAACTTGCTTGCTCTAAACCCACTGTTTTTCTCAATGCACAACTTCCGGTGACGTTCTAACGACCCATTAAAAATGGTGTAGATATAGACAAAATAGAGACAATGTTCAACCTTGCCTCCCTGCTCCTCCTCAGAATCATGCTGAGGCGGGTGTCTCTCGGGGGTCTGGGGAACAATTAGACAGGGGATGATGGTGCACAGGCACCTGTGGCCTCCCTTCCCAGAATTTGGGGACCTTGGAACACTAGTCAGATTTCCTCTTGTTGGTCCAGACATAAAGACAGAGCAGAAGCCACTATGATTATCCTGGGTTCACCTGGCCTGGGCTGGACTGGGGATGAGGTGGGGCAAGATGGAGGAAGGACATCACTAGGATCCAGGAGCACAGAAGTCCTCTCTGTTACGGGAAAGCAAAACGGAAGGAGTGCGAGGCTCGCAGGGCCTTACCGAGGCCGGCCAACAGCATGGCAAACTCGGCGAGTATGAAGAACAGAGGCATGGCTGGACCGGAGTGCAGAAAGCACAGCGGAGCCCAAGACCGTTGGCAGCCGAGGGGCACGTGGGCAGCGTGGGAGACGCCCACCAAGGGATCGCCCGCCCGAGGCTCTCAGGGCCTCTATCTGGCTCAGAACAGACGACAGCTTCTAGCCCAGGCCCTCGCAGGAGGCATAAAAGTACACACAAGCAGAACTTGTCTTGCTTGGTTATTTTTGTTCTCTCCACATTTTTTCTTGTATTGTGATGGAAGACAGAGAGCAAGCTAGAAATGCTACCTATTATCAAGGTGACAAATGAGTAAATAGAACGTGATCTTGGCAAGGCAATCATAAAGCATAAAGCGTTCCTCTCCTGTCTTCTTTTCTTACTGTGCTTGCTTATGATTGGTAGAGGGAAGAGAAGGTTATCTTATAATGCAACTTAAGTGTGTTCTGTTAATGGTGACTATCTCAGGGCTTCTATCGCTGCAACAAACCACCAGCTAAACACTGAGTCTGATAGAATTTCCCCCGCCATCCTTTCTTCATTTCTAGTCACTAGGAGCCCTAAACCAGTTTACTAGTTGTAAACTAATTCTTGCCTTTACATATGTGTGACATGGTCTTTCTGAGTGACATTTTAGCATAATGACTATTTTATATATGATTTTATATATGACTGTTTTTTATATGATCACCATTTTATAGTGATATTTGTGGTCTGTTAAAGGCGGACTAATACTGAGTTGGGTGGATGTTCCGCATTTATCCAGTACAGTTGAAGGCATTTGAAAAAAAAAGAGCATCTGAGTCTCTGCGATGAAGCTTGGATCCTCTTTGCTATGGCAAAGGCTCGATCACCATGACCGACCTTGATGGTGATGAAGAGCGCACTAACTCAAGTATCAGGTTCAAGGTGTGCGGATCTACCCTCAGCCTAGACCAGGATGGGAGTTAGGGCCATGAAGGCGGAAAATCACATCCAGAAAGCTCAGCTTCAAGAAGGATGCGGCAGAGTTCGGGCTTACCACATTTTAGGAATAAAATATCAATTCACAACTCAACCCAAGACTAGGTTGGGGAACCAGCTTATTTATTGGGGTTACTCACAGGACCAAGGCAGATGTATCAACCAGAAGGCTGTGTGACCTTGGTCGTGACTCTCTCATGAAAAGATTCATCCCTAGAATTACTTGCCTGGCTTACAGGCAGCTGAAGAGAACCACAGGGAGGGTCCTCTGAGCCTTAACAACTGCCCAAAGGGAGCTCCCTGTGTCGTGAGTTTTATGGCCCTGGTTCCTGCCCATTAGGAGGAATGCTTCAGTTCAGAAATAGCCCACAGCAGCAAATAACAAGAAATATCCTAATTCTAATTCTCAAGGGGCCATAGGGTCGTTATCAGTACCTCTGATCAGAAACTCAGTCTAGGACATTCCTTTAAGAAAATGAAAATAGTGACTATTTGGGACCCACAGGAAGAGCTCCCACCCAGGGGATCTCTCTCTGGGCATCCTGAAACTTGACGTGATAGGGCAGGGGAGTGAACAGGTTGTCGCACTTGCTGGCTCTTGACTTTGGGCACTTGGCAGGGAGTAGGCGTAGACAGTGGAATGCTAAGTGCTGATCTCCCTGGCACAGAGGGAAGAAGTCACAGACACAAGTCTATTTACTTTCAGCCACAGGTTTTATTTGGAGGTATGTAGAACCGAAATCTGTAAGCCAAAGAAAGAGAGACAGGCTGGCTCTTGTTCTCGGACCAGACCACATAAGGTGAGTTTCTTGGGGGTGTCCTTCTTCCACTGTGTCTTTGATGTTGCATGACAGCTGTTGTAAGAAAAACACACACACAGGAAGTAGACAAGCTTAATTCTCACCATTATTCTCATCATTAGAAAATTCTCATCATTATTAAAAAGCTACCCAATTTATACTGTGAAACTATAGGTACAGAAACTTAATTAACTAACAATGAATTAACAAGATAAGTCTATGACTGTACTCTGACCTTCTCTGAGATTCACAAAGTTTGTAAAGCCAAGGTGTTTTTTTCCAAGTTCTTTTTTGTTTTGTATGTAACTAGTTTGCAATGACCGTATGGAAAGAGTATGTTGTTAGATGTGTTTTATGTGTTTCAGCAGCATTTTCTAAACTTGACGTGAAGAACAGAAAACCACCCAGAAGGGAAGTCCCTAGTGCTGAAGATGCCACGCCCTTCAGACACAGGGCCCAGAAACCCCTGAGCTGGTACTGATCTGAATACCCCATTCCTGAGCCTAGCTTTTATCATAGCAAAAGACGCCACACAAACTTTCAAAGGAGGGAAGCCGCTGTGATGCCCACGAACTACACGAAAAATCAGCAGGGCACAATAACCCAAAGGGTGAAGGAGAGGCATGCACACCTTGATGCTAACCAACAGTTCCCTAAAAGGCTCACTCAACCAGAGGGAAGCCACACCTGGTACGGGAAACCTTGTCAACTGCCCAGGGCTGGTTAAGCAATGAATCCTAGAAAAGAACCTAGAACCAAAACATTCCTAAACCAGCCTTATCCCTAACTACATTTTAAGTATTCTAAATATTTGTCCTTATACCCACAGGTAAGCGTAGTCTTTACCCCTCAGCAAGGAAACTTCTCCTACAACAAAGACCATGATAGAAAGCCACAGCCTATCAAAATGCACAGAGTCGAAGAGCCCAGTCCTGATGAATACATCTACAACACCACTGCCTTGCTCAGGGAACACTGTGGGAGAGGGGACGGAAAGGCTGTAAGAAACAAAGAACCGGGAGTTTGCTGTGAGATCGTGTCTCCTAGTGGTGTTAGAAGCTACACCCATGAACATCTCACAAGCATGACTGCCTAAACATGATCTGAAGGAGAACGACAGACACGCTGAAGTAGGAGAGGAAAAGCTCAGGATGCCTCAGCCCCACACAAAGAACGGTAGGTAACTAAGGAAAGCTGAGAGCAGGAGAAACAGTCTTTCCCAGGAAAGAACATATCAAGGGACTATCAATACTGAATGGCCGGTCCTGGAACCGTATGTACAAGGAACCGTGCACAGACAGAGCCTGTAACAATTAATGAAGAAAGAGGCTGTGACTTTGAGAGAGAACAAGGAGGGATTAGAGGGAGAAAGGGAAAGGGGGACGTGATGTAACTGTATTATAACACAAAAAAAATTAAAGAAGTAACTTTTAAAAAAAGAAAACCATCAACAGGAAACAGAAGCAATGCAGAAGAATTGAGTTTTTTACTAATCAATGTTCAGTGACAAAAAGTGCTTCCCAGCCTCATGTGTAGTGTGAATTCTAGTTGGTCGCAATAATGAGAACTCCCTAGTGCTGGGATTAAAGCCATGGAATTCCAAATCCTGGGATCAGCTTGTATGATCTCTGATTCTCTTTTAGACAGATATTCAGTCTCGTGTAGCCCAGTGTGGCCTTGAACTCACAGAGCTCTGTTCTGTCCCCCGAGTGCTGGGATTAAAGGTGTGCGCCACCGCTGCCCGCTGCCCGGTCTCTGTGGCTAACCAGTGGCTTAGCTCTGCACTCTGATCTCCAGGAAGCTTTATTTGTTAGATCACAGAATATCACTATGTCTGTGTGCATCACCAGCAGCTGCCTCTTCTACAAGGGATCAAAGGTCAAACTCATCCGCCCCCACACACGTCTGCACATGACGCTGATTGTATGTAGTACTTGGTCACTGTCACGTGTCCTTACTCTATCCCACCTGTCAGCACCCAACACTTTTTTTTTTTTCCTGTGATCCAGACTTACCTTTTGCACACCTTTACTGTGTGGTCAACAGGCTATTTTATGCCAAGAAATGTATAAGATAAATACTACATCTGATCAAATCCTGCTCTTACCACTTTAGAAACAGTTTGACTACACCCCCATTCACATGTGGCTAAATGAAGGCTCGTATCATGGCACCCTCAAACTTATGATTAGCTTGGGATTTGTCTTAGTATATTTTCTCTCTCGGTATTCATAAACTCAGAAATCCACTTTTGGAGGAGTAACAAGAGAGCAAACTTTGGATACAGAGAGGGCCTATAAATTTCAATACTTATAATTTTCTATCTTATTTACGTTATTCTTTCTACTTTGTTGGCTCTTGTTTGTTGATTTTGGCTTGTCGTTTGGTGGCGGCAGTAGTGCTGGCTTCCTGTTGTATGCCCACAAACATTATTTTTTCAGTGTTTCTTTTCTTTTTCTTTCTTTTCTGTTTTTGTTTTGTTTTGTTTTGTTTTCTTTCAAGATAGGGTTTCTGGGTTTCTCTGTGGAGTCCTAGCTGTCCTGGAACTTGTTCTGTAGACCAGGCTGGCCTTGAACTCACAAAGATCCACCTGTCTCTGCTTCCCTGGAGTGCTGGGATTAAAGGTGCCCACCTCTCAGTTTATCAGTGTTTTTTAAGGAAATACATTCACCTTCAAAATTTCTCCATGAGCTATCCTTACCACTCCTAGTCTGAAACGCGAGGGAGGCATCTACACTTCTGCCCCTACCACAGTACGCTATTCACAAAATAATGTGAGACAAACAGCTTAGCATTTGAAGCAGAAGTTTGAATTCTCAGTGGTACAGGTGAGTCTGACCTTTTATTCAGAGTGAGAGATGTGGCCTCCAAGGACCCTGCTGAGCTTTCCTTCTCCCCCCTGCTGCCTGACTTCCACTTCTGCCAGCCACATCCACGACAGTAACCAAGCAACCTGGCTCAGGCTCTCTTCTGGGGTATTCATGTGTTAAAAGCCACCCTTGAAAACGTGCACCCAGGTATTTCTGCCAGCTGCATTTCTACAGAGCACACACTGGCTGTGGACAGTCGGTGCCTCTACCACTATCTCTGATGTCACCTGGGTTTCTGGTTTGAACATGTTGCCAAGATAAGGGCAATGAGATTGTGCTGAGATGATTACAATTTAAAATAGGAATTTTTCAGTCTTGGTGTGTACCCCACTCTCCCACCCCAATGTTTAGTGACAGATGAAGCTACAGCAACCCATTAACTCAGCTATCAGAGTCAGATGCAAATGAATGGAAGACAGGAAGCTGGATGGATGTTTG